AGTACATGACCTTTATTAATTTACTTCCTTTTTTTATTATTCAAAAAGCCCTCGATAAATCTTATTTGTGTAAAATTATCTAGGAAATTATATCAAATAATAATCCTCAAAAAATATAGTTCTCCAAAAAAAAATTTTTTTTTCTTTAATGCTATAGAAAAAACGATAAAAAATTTACCAAGTATTATATGGAATTACTTGTGAATATTTAAACTATTTTATGTTCTTCCTTTTTTTTTTTTTTTCATCTCTTTCATTATATAGCTTGTTAAAAAATTTCATAGTACAATAAATATTCGATAGATATGAAAGTGATATTTCAAAATATTTGTGTATAAATTTAAAGAATTTCTCCTTTTTTTAAAATATTTCTCTTTCTTTTTATTATTTCATATGATTTGAATTGAAATGTTGAGATTTTTATTCTCAATTTCCATATGCTTTATGAACGAATTTGGTTGTATGATTGTGCAACAAGCCATAATAAAAAATGGCTCTTTGTTGAGGCCTAGGCTTCACTTACTTATGGCTTTCATATAGATGTAAGCTATGCTTCATAGTTTATCTCATATCATAGTAGTTCTTTCCTTCTTTTTTTTTTAACATTGAGTGCAAATATGCCCCATTTTGCATTTCACTGATACTTTTTTTTCCCCTTTTCTCGTGAATTTTATAAATGTGTAATTGCTTGAAATTAAAATATAAATTAGTTCAAAATTCATATTTTTATTTAAAAATAGAAAAGATTAATTTTTAATTTAAATTAATTTTTTTTTTAATTTTAAATAGAATGAATATTTAAATCTGTTTGGTAAAGTTTTCGTAAGAATGTATGTATATGAATTGTTACTAGTTTATTTCAATTTTGATGTAATCAATATTTTTTTTAATGGCACAATGTTTGTAATTGTTTCTTTTTCCAAAATATTAAAGCTGAAAGATTAATAGAATAAAGCAGTAAAAAATAATATCAAAATGAATACTTTAGCGTATGGTTAATTAAGTTATTAATTTAAAGATGAATTAAAATGATTTATTGGATCGTAAAAATATATGCATAAAATAATTGTTTCTATTAAATATTTCTATAAATTATTTCAAATTCCTTTAACATAAAACTCTCCAATAATTTTTAAATTAATTCTCTTCTCTCATCTTGAGTGTTGAATCTTTTTTTTTTCTTGTATTTCTCTTTCATTATCAAACTTATTTAAAAAAGTTTACATTTTATAAACAAATTATAGGAACTGACATTTTATCAGTTCAAAGTTAACAATTCAAAGTTGAAATTTATTAAATTTCAGAAGAGAAATAGCTTAAGCTTTAAATTATTGCTTCTTGTCTAATAAGCGAAAATTGAAATTAGACGTTTTATTAAGCTCTATGTAATATTCAACGAATGAAACTACAGCAAAAATAACACAGATGAGTAATGCAATAAGATATTCTCTTATCACTTTATCACTTCATTTTCAGTTTTATTAGTATTATTTTTTTTTTCTTTGACTTCAGAAATGATTCCTTTAACTATCATTCATTATTTTTATTACTATCATTATCATTCCCTTTTGTCTTCAAATCTTCCAAACCTCTTATGATATTATCACTCTTAATTTAGACATAATACTTGGAAAACATAAAAATCTTATTATCAGTCCAAAAAAGAAGAAATCCCAAATAGCCATTCTTGGTTAAGGAGAAGAGAAAGAAAATAAAAGATTGCTATAGCAACGTTTCTGTTTACAATGCCGTGCTTATGATTTGAAAAAAAAAAAAAAAAACATATAGGCTCATTTTCTTGGCCCATCTCACATTGAAAAATTTATGGGTTTTATCTGGAAATAACATCAAAAAAAAGGATCTGAACTAACTGATCGAGCGATGGTGTGCGGTGCGGGTGGGTAAGGCATTAGGACTTTAGGAGCAGGGAGGAATGATCGAAGAGAGTAGGTGGTTGTATGGAAAGAAAGAAGCAAAGACTGATGATTCAAATTACGAAGAGTTAGAGAGAGAATGAAGAGAGAAGAAGATACACAGAGACTAGAGGGTAAAAAAAGAAAAAAAAGCTTAGAAGGGCGTGGAAGACATTTTTCGAAAAACTAACTTTAATAGCAGACAAATTTTTCAAATTCCCAATGCTCGGTTTTTTTTTTTTTTCATCCGTTTTTTTTTTTTTGGTATTCACCAATGGCTCATTTTCCGTACGAAAAGTTCAGTTGACAACTGTTTCTTTCATTTTTGCATTTTAATGAATTGTCAATGGTTAAATATTCTTTTTTTAAAAAAAAAAAAAAATTCATAGAAGTTAATCAATTATTAAATTATTTGATTGAAAAAAAAAAAGGACAAAAATTTCCATTGATTATTATTACGTTTAATTACAATCAAATATAATAATAAATAGTTTGAAAAGAATTATAATAAAAATTCGGAAAAAAAGATTAATGAATATTAAGTGTAAGATGAGAGATTAAGATTAAATACTTTTTTTAGAAGTGAAGTATTGATTAGTTTATAAATTTAAATTATTCTAAATAAGTACTCAAGAAGATATCGATTTTTGTTGCTCATATTTAAGTTTCTTATGCACGTAATATGTCTTATTATTTGCTATAAATAACTGCTTATTTCATTTAATACATTGCAAAAATGATATATTTATGTTTATCATTCCTGAGTTTATGAAAATTAAGTAAGGTATTAATCGACTTAATTAAGCTAAATTCAATTTAATTTAAATATTTAAATGTGATATATATATATATATATATATATATATATATATATATATATTTAAAAGGCAACGTATGATGCATAAGCTATACAAATGATATGATTACATAGATGATTACTCGCATTTAATCATTAATCATTAATCATTGATCATTAATCATTACTTCCGAATACATTAAAACCTTTTTTTGATGCACTTAAATTATGAAATGAAACTTCAACTGTTATTTCATATTTTATGATAATGTTAATGTTAATCTTATCAACTGCAAAAATAATGATATCCTTACAAGAATTAAATCATTATTATTAAGATTTCAATGGTCAAATATCCTTCTTGAAGCACTGAATAATTTTAATAAAGAAAGACAAATAATTGTTTAATATTTGTTTTAATAATAATAGTAATAAAACAATGATCAAGTGGTAATATATCTGTTACATAACTGAAAATTTTTATCGCATAATTAATTATTAGTAAATTTATTAATGCTTTTGAAGTATTTACCAATGAAATAGTTATGTTGAAATAAAAGATGGAAAAATGAACTTTACAATTATTAATCACTTTTTTTCTAATCTATTTCACATACATGTTATTTTTTTTTTCATTCATACAGATCAATAATTTAATTAATAATAAAATATTACTTCTAGAGTCTTTTTTTATTTTTTATTATTGTTGATTGATGTACTAAAAAATCTCAATAAATCGTTAATCATTTCATTCGCTCTCGTCTTATATTGAAATTTTTTAAATTAATAATAACCATAATACATGTAAATATACATGGAAAACATCTGGCAGCAGCTGCACAAATAGATGAAAATGTGAAAGTGAATGAGTAAGTAAATCTAACACCTGCTAAACACTCATGCTAGTAATTCTTTTATGTTTAGTTAATCGGTCAAATGTCACCATTTCATATTTTCTTTAACACTTTTTAACTTATCTGAATTTGTTATCACATTTTAAGCATAAATTAATTCATTAGTTTTCGTTTCTGTTATATTGATAGAAATATTTTGTAAAGCATAGTAGTTATATAATAAATTTTCATTCATCCTATTTCATTTAATTCAAAGTTTCTTTCACATAAAATTTTTGACTCAATTAGAAATTAAGTAAATATGTGGAAAAAATTTCCATTTTTTTAAATTTAATATTAGTATTTAATGAGATGTCCATAGCAACTGTTTAGATGTTTACTTTTGAAGGTATCGTTTTAGAAAAACAAAAAAAACAAAAAAACAAAAAAACAAAAAACAAAAGAAAAAATGGATCGAATTAAAATTTAGATCTAATTTTTTCAATTGTTTTTCAACTTTATCTTTTTCGTTTTGTCTGTTTTATTATCGTTTAAAATTCATTACTTTTTTATTGCTTATAATGTAAAATGAAATGTTCTTATCAAATAAAACAAGCAAATTAAATCGAAATTGTTCCATTTGTTTATCTTCTGCTAATGAAACCACTGTTCTTAATTTTATTTCAACTTTTAGCCATCAATTTACTCAACTATTTTCGTTTTCCTCTTTGCTCTTAGTTTCAAATAAAAACATTCGATGATAAAATTTCTGTTAGCTAATTTCAATACTTTAAAATAAGACTTCATCCCTTTTTTTTTTTGCTTCTTTTTAATTCATGGAAAAAAAGAGGGAAAAATGATAACACGTTAGTCTTAATTTTCGAAATTGAAAAAAAAAAAAACGCCAAAATTTTGTAAAACAATTTCTAAAAAATCAACTTTTTATTCTTATCACTTTTCTATCAAAATTTGATAGCCTGAAAATAAATCAGAAAAGGAATAAGAAAAAACTTAAATCAATTTTTCCATTTTTTTAGCATTTGTTATTACTATCATATAATGTAATGTTACTAATTATTTTTTGCATTTTAATTTTAAACAATTAAATCGATTTCTTTATATTATAAAATAAATTTGTTTTTTTTTTTTAAAAAGCAGTTGTTATTTTGATAATTCTTGGTAATGTTGCGGAATAAAACAAAATATTATTCATTTATAAAATTGTTTTTTTTTTTTTTTTTTCAGGTAAAGTAAAACCAAAAACGAAAAGACTATCAAATATTATAAATTATTTGATTTGCTTAACTTAAATGATTTAAAAAATTTCAATCTGACCACAATGGAACTGAATGTATGAATGAAATGAATTGAAATTTTTTTTTGAAAAAAAAATTTAATGCATCAATGTGATAACATCTGATGCTTCGTAGTTACTATATTTTTCCGCGATTTGTTCTTATGGTTATTCTTGTACTATCCATAATAAACCATCATCATCATCATCATTGGTTTACAAATGCGTCAAATGCGCCATCATCATGCACCATTGAAAATGCTATCTGTTCCGCAAGTGATGCACGAATTTGCCGAAATTCAAGGTCATTAATATATTATATATTTATTGAAAAATTTAAATTTGATAATAAGTTTGTTTTTTCTAAATTCCTTGAATTTCAATTAAATTTCCTTCCTTTCCTTGTTTTTTTTTTCCTCTTTTAATTGCTTCAGAAAAATCAAAAAGTTAATATTTTTATAAAAAATTTCTTTGATATAAGAAACAAAAACTTTCAGGCAAAAAAGTTAAAATCATAAAAAAAGAAATCTTACAGACAAGTTTTAAAGTTTTAAAGAGATAATTTGTATCAAATTTAATAGTTTTTTCTTTTTTTTTTGCATTATTTTTTTTGAAGGAGCAAAGAAATTGAGTGTAAAATAAAAAAATTTGGAACTCCCAAACTGAATGAATAAAATGTATGGCATATATAAATCAATGCATGAGAGATTATTAATTTTTATTTAAGAATTAGTTCGACGTATTAAATTCATTTGGTTATTAGTTATTAATTTTAATTAGTGATATTCTCCTTTACCTCCTAAGAAATATGTTAAATTGAAATAAAAATTTGAAAAATTTTTTTATTAAATTGTATTTTCAAATTTAAAATCACTTCAATTTGCTTTGTTTTGTTTTCTTTTTTTCCTAAATAGACCAAAAAATTTGGCCTTGTGAAGTTTGGATAATTTTTAAGCCTTAGCTGTAAATAATTTGGTTATAAAAAAAGTTGAAGTTTTATTGCATTGTTAAAGTTTTTATTGCTAAAAAATATTCTCATAGTTAAATGTGATTTTTTGTGATAAAAATTTTTAAATAAAAATACTATTATTAAAATTTTCTCATTGCTATATGTTAATCCTAACCAAACTGAACATTTACAAAAAAAAAATTTTGAATTTAAAAAAAATAAACATCTATTACCGCCTCCCAATTATATTACCTTCTTTTCACTTTTTTGTTTTTTCGATACTTTTTTTAAGTATTGTTTTCAGTTTTTCATTTAATAATATACTTACTTGTTTTTTCTTCATTCCTCCTTATGTTTTAATTTATTCACCTATAGCAAAATTAAATGATTTAATGAATTTTTATCGTGAAGCTTTCGAAAAAAGAACAAATTTTTTTGCATTTAAACTTCTGCATTTAAAAATACCTATTAAAACAAAAATATCTCTTTTTTTTTCATTTCAAAAAAAAGAAATGAGATAAAAAAGGAAACAAAAAAGGAAAACAAAACGAAATACCAAATATCAATTTGCTACTATATATACATATATGTATGCATATATTCTAGAATAAAATTTTCATTTTTTATTTTTCATTACTGATCGAATAAATTTCCCTTAAGAATTTCTTACTTTTATAAATTAAATTTAAAAGAAAAAAATAAAATAAATAAGAATTTAGAATATGAAATGAGTGGAATTTATCATTACCCTTCTTTTCTCTGTTTTTTTCAATAAAATTACTTAGAGAATCAGACAAAAAAGAAGGAAAAAATGAAAGAGAAAAGTTATGAAAAATTTATACTAAAAAATGAAATTCTAAAAATTAGCACTTTCTTCTTTGTTACATTTATTTTATTCTGTTGAAATTATCTAAGAAAGAACAAAAAACAAAAGGCAAAAAAAAAAGAAAACAACGAATGAAATTAGAATTGAAATGGAAAAAAAGTAATATTAATATTCTAAAATGATTCCACTAAATGATTAATAATATTTGAATGCTAACAGTCACATTTCCATTTTCATCCATTCATTTTTTTTAAATATATATGTCAATCATAAGAAATGCGCTTAGTTTTCAATCTCACCTGCAGAAAAAAAAGCTTAATAAAAGAAAAGATGAAATAATTGAAAATATTAATTCTTTTTTCCTAATCCATTGTTAAGTTATTTCCTCAGCAATAGAAAAAAGAACAGGAAAGGAGAGAGACAGAAAGAAGGGAAAAAAAAAAAGGAGAAAAGAAGTGAGAACTTTTACTTTCCTAATTATACCACAATAAATTTTTCTTATATATTTGTCTTTTTACTAAAATTTTTATATTTGTCCTGTAGTCACAAATAAAACAGAATTTAGTTATCAAATTTATCGAATGTGACATGTGAAAATAAAATAGTTTTTTGAAGTTTTTTTAAAATAAATTAGATCGATGCATAGACGGAGAAAAAAATCAACGATTTAATTTTATTCCAAAATGTCTTTAAAAAGTTTAAATTTATATATATATAAATAATCTTTGGTTCTTTTTCTTTTGTCTTTTCTCTCTTTTTTTTTTCAATTCAAAAAATAAATAAAATGCATTTATATGTGAAAATTAAAATAAAATAAAATTAGTGCAAAATAAAAGTGAACAAAGAAATTAAAATTTTTAGCTGTGTGTCAGTATGCTCAACCCGTGGAATGAAACAATGCGAATGTGACGTGGAAGAAGACAATTATTGCTATTTGTGTTGTGGTAATTCAAATTCACGTTGTATGCCAGCACATCATTATAATATTCTGAGGTATTATCAGTTATTATTTCTATTTTTAAAACTTTTTTTTTTTAAAAATAACAAATCCATATGCATAGTAATGCTAGTATAAAATGCTAAGGTATCACAAACCATTAATTTTTTTAAAACTAAAAAAAACTATTGAACTATTAACTTTAAACTTTTTTTTTTAATAAAAATAAATGTATATCATTTAGGAAACGAAATAGATCAATGAAATAATTTGTATATAGTTTTCATATAAACATATTTATGAAGAATATGAAAATTTATTCAAAAAATTTCAAAAAGTATTCAAAAATTTGTTAGTTAATATTTAAAGAAGTGTTAGTAAAAATTTGTTAATTAAATGTTTGAGGATTTGTTTGTAAAATTTCTACTTTTATTCCTAAATTGCATTAGAAAATTATTGAATTTAAATTTTGTGCTACTAAAAGACATTAATATTTTCTATTCTTTAAATAATGAATTACAAAATATATGATACATGTTTAATTTTAAAAATGTTTAAAAATTTGTTAATGCTTATAAGATTTATCATTTTCTTTCTAAATTGCATTAGAAGATTGTTAAGATCAAGTTTTTGTTGTCATTTCTTCTTTTAAAATATGTAATTTTAATACTTTGATAAAATAACTCGCAATAATAAAAATATGGGATTTACGGTACTTAATTAATTTGGGTAAAATTTTTTACTGTATGGGAAAATTTTTTTGCAAACATATTCAAAAAAAAAGGAATAAAAATTTTAAATGAAAATAAAACAATAGAAAACAAAAATGAAAATATCTTTTAATTATCTTTTTCTTATCAAAAATTTCCTTTTCTCAATGATAAGGAAAAGTGAGCTCATTCAACTGTAATATCAGATATAAAACTTAAAATTTGATTTTACAAATATCATTTTAAGATGTAATCGTTTTTCTTTTTTCTTCTAAGTATACTTAGAACGTTTAATATAGTACGCAAATTTACTATTCATAAAAAATTTTTTTTTAAAAAACTAAGTCTACTTTTTTTTTTTTTTGAAATGTAAAATATAACCTAGTTGTTCTAATCAGAAAATAACTCTTTGAATTTTATTCAATTTCTTGATAGTCATCTCTTGTTGAGTTAAAAATTTAAAAGAAAAAGGTTTTTTTTTTTTCTTTTTCCACAATTGTCCTTGCAATGAAGCATTCATTTAAAACTGATTTCCTTACCACCTGCTGATTTGTCACCAAGAAAAAAAGAAAGAAGCAAAAAAAAAGAAAAAACGAACACAATAAAAGTGCATTTCTCTTTCAAATGGTATAAGAAAAAGACTTATTTAGATATGCGCTTAAATTTTTTAGAAATAACATAAATTTCAGGGAAAGATAAAAGGAAAAAGAAAAAACAGAAAAAAGCAAATAAACCAAAATACATCAATAATATATTAATTTTTTTCGAATTTAAATTATTAATTATAAAATAATAGAAGATAAAAAATTTAGACATATTTGAATTTTAGTTTTATATTAAGTTTCTTTTTTTACTTTTTTATTTTATTTAAATCTCTTTTTATTTTGTTTTAAATTTATCTTTGTTTTGCTTCTTTTCATAGTAATGAATAAACTATTGCTAAAAAAAAATATTTCTTTTTTGAGTTTTTTTTTTTGAATAAAAGAAAAAAATGTAAATTTAATTTGAAGAGATAATGGAGAAAGATGGGAGCGTGAAGCTTGTGCACTTTGTCGTCAAAATGGCGCCGAGCTAGAAGGTTTAGCATGCGATGATACGGATCCGGCACGATTATGCCTTCAGGGCAAATGCTCAAATAGTGTGTGTCATGATAAGAAACCTGGACAATATTGCGATCGAAAGTTAGGCTTAGTTAATTAATTAATTACTTCATTTGTTTATACTTTCATTTTATATTTATCAAAAAAGAAAAAAAAAAGAAAAAATGATTTCATAGATGTATAAATTAATAAGATGTGAATATAATTAATTATGGAAAAAAAATTTTTTAAAAAAAATCAAACATTAATTATCGTTGCGAAATTTTTTTTTCAAATTTAGCACAAGTGACGTATTTGAATATTTGAATTGAAGAATATTAGAAAAAGTAATCTTCTTGATTCATTGCATCAAAAAAATAAAAAATAGAAAAGTTCTGTTACAAATATGAAAATTTAGATTTAAAAAAAACAAAAAAAAACAAAGAACGAAAAGTATCCTTTATAAATATAGTATTAGAATGCTAAATGATATTTATTTTAGTAAAATTTTGCTTAAAAAGTCTAATATTAATTATTTTATTAAATAAGAGCTAATAATAAGCATTGAATAAAATAAAATTTTATTAAAAGAAAAATTTAGGATGGAGAAAATATGTGTGGATGATATTTGTGAAAATCCATGTGCTCGTATCAGTCCACATTTAATGGTTTGTGATTGCCCATTAATTGATCCTGATACAGGATTTGCTTCAGATGATCGTTGTCAACTCTGTTGCTATGATTTTAATGTTGTAAGTTTATAGTCATTTTAATTTTATTTTATTATTTTTTCAATTTTACTTCAATTTTATTTCGTTATTTAATTTTACTTTTTATTACTTCAAAAAAAAAAAACCGCCTTTCCATAACTTTTTCATTTGCAAAAAGAAAAAAGAAAAAAAAAATAAACTGAGAAATGTTTCAGTTAACATAAAATTATCAAGCATAAAAAAAGTTTTTTTTTTTCTTTTTAGATTAGCATCTGTTATTGTCAAGTTCGCCAAAGTTTTACTTTAATCTTAAAAAAAAAAAAGAAATGTAGTATAAAGAAGTGCATTTTAACTTAACTTATAACCTTTGCTTTTTTTTTGATAGTATAACAACAGTAAGAAATTTTTTGATAATCTAACAATAAACTAAAAATATGAATTAGCTTTATAGCTTATCATTTCTGTTTGAATTTTCATTATGTGAATAAAATATAAATTGAAAATTTTCACAAGTAATGAAAATGTCTAATGTGTATACTTTTCAACAACTTTTATCTAAAGGACAATTTTTTTTATATTAAAGTTATATTGAAATGCATAATTATTAGCTTTACCTAACTGTGATACAAATTTAATTTAAATCAATAATAAAGTTAAATGGTCGCTGCGCTCAGAATAACCTTCAAATGCCCTGTATGATATTTTAGAGGAAATAGTCGAACAATATATTTCTCTAATCTCTCATTTATTACAAAATTTTGTTTAAAAAAAAGTACAAATAATTTAATTATTTTGATAAATTCAGTATTGAGGAATAAATTACTCATTTAATTTATCAGTTTTCTCTCTATGGATAAAAAAATTAATGCTAATTTACACTTTAAGAAATTTTGGTAACTAATTACACTTCATTCTAAAAAATATATATAGCAGGAAACTAATTAAAAAATTCTTAATATGTATTTTGGTTTATTTGAAGTTAATTTCACAAAATGCAAAATATATATATATATATATATATATATATATATATATATATATATATATATATATATATATAATTTATCATTTATAAGCAAATTTAAGGAATTTGAACCGGAAACAGAAAAAAACAAATGATAAAAATTTTGAATGTAAAATTTAATCTTAATTAATATTTTTTAATTTTTTCACAAATTTAATTTTAATTAGTAATTTCTTACAGAAACCTGCATCACGACGTTGTCAAAATGCATATCGTCGATTTAATTTAGCATCAACTCATAATAGGCCTATCTGGCGCGTAGGCCTAGATTGTGCTGGTGGCAAAAAATGCAATCGCTATGGTATTTGTCGTGGTATTATCTTACAACCAAAATTTTATTTGACACTATTATCACTGCTATTTTCCATTTGCTGCCTTAGATTATGCTAATGATAATAATGTTATCATTATTATCACTGATTAATAATAATGATGATAATGATGAATGATCACTTTATTGTGGAATAATTTTAACTTTTTTCATTTTCTTTTTTTCAACTTTTTAATGTAATTCTTTTCTTTTCTATTATTAGTAATAATTAATTTGATAGTTAATTCTCACGAGAAAAAGGAAAACTTATGCTAAAAAATTTATGGTATGAAAATTAAATTTTTATGAAAGATATATTAAAATATATAAATGTAATTACTACTAACATAGTGTTCCAATTGATTAAATTGCATAGTAAAATATTTCTTATTTTATAATTTCAATATAATATATTTAGCAAAAATTTAAATTTCATTTCGAGTAATAATAAACAGTCACTTTAAATCAAAAAATAAGAAAAAAATAGCTTTTAGAAAAAGGGCAATCTTCCTTTCTTTCTTTTTTTTTTTGTTCCAAGGTTAACTAACCTTTGTCCAGATGAGTACCGGTTTTGGCGTACCGGTTACGGAACAGTCCAATAATAACGGTCTCCCAACAATAATTGATGGATTTAAATTGGTCATATCCAAAAAACGCGGCGGCTCTGAAGTAAGTATGAGAAATTCAAAAAAAGAAAAAATTCCTTTTTTGTTTGAAATTTAAGAAAAAAACATCGGATTTTTCGAGATTTACAGTACGCAAATGCTTATATCTATCAATTTTTATACTTTTCTTCCTTTCTTTTTTTTTTTTTTTGCAAATGAATTATGAAATGAATAATTCATTAATTTAATTTGATAATATTCATTAACATTCTTTGTCTATTTTCGATTACATTTTAATTTGAACTAAAATATATTTTGAGAATGATTAATTTCATTTGCTTTGTTATGTTAATTTAAAGAAATTTCCAAATAAAATTTTTCATCTGTGTTTCTTTTTGACAATGAAAACCTTCAACATATATTTTATTGCATATGAAATTACGAAATTTGATCTGTGCAATTTTATTTATGAGTTTGTAATTAGCTAAATGAATAATGTTACTCTTACAATGAATTTGAATATTCAATGAAATGGGCTAATGATACATTCAAATTAAATGATTAATTAAGTGAAAAATTATGTAAAATTTGCATATTAAATTTAGATATTAGATTTTAATAGAACTTAGCAAATTTTTATAAGTACCATTTACAGTAAGCTGATATGTTTTTCTTGCTTCTCCTGCTTCATTTTCAACGACACAAATATAATTACCCGAATCACTCAAACGTGCATTTCGAATTTCGATTCGTCGATCATCCACCTAGCATAATCAATTTTTCATATGCAAATTTAGAAAAAAAAAAGATTAATTTTTAAGGCTAACAATTATTTTATTAATTAAAATCATTTATTCATAATGATCATCATCATTTTGAATAAAAAATTAATAAGATTAATGAGTTAAAAAAATGATTTAAACGATAAAAAAAACCTTCTCAACAATCTTTTCACTTTCATTTTAAAAGGAATATATAGTGATAAAACTAGAAAAAAGTTTTTTTTTTTTTTTTGAATATTTTACTAATCATTTACAAAACAGCATAATTATTAAGTGTAAATTTTTAAATAAAAATTTCATTTCTTCACTTGAATATGAATACAAAAATTTTGATTATAATAAATTTTAAAAAAATACTAAAATATTTGGATTGATTCGCCCGTTTTTCACTTTTCGTCCATCAATAATCCATTTTGTTGCTATTTTTCCACTACCACTAAGTGCATTGCAAGTCAAAATGACAAATTCACCTACCACTACCTCGATTTCTTGAATAACCCGATCAACAATTGGTGGAACTAAAATTAAAGTAAAATGATTAAATTTAAGTAATTTAAATTAAAATTATATTACAAATAATAATTGCATTATTTTAATTAATAATTTTGCTAATATTCTAAATATATTATATATCAATTTGAAAAAGAAAGAAAAAAATATATTTCTATATATTAAATTGAAATGAAATAAGAATTTTTAATTAATTTATTTTTTATAAAGGTAAATTTGTTGAAATTTGTATAACAGAGAAGAATACCAGTAAGTTTGATGATAAAATCACGACTTGCTTGACCAATTTTATTTGTTGCCGTACAAGTATAACGTCCATCTATGCCATCACGTGCAATATTTATCCATAATGTTTGATTATTATTGAGAAATACTGAATGATAATCCGGTTTAATTAATAGATTATTTCTTGTCCATATAATCTTAAAATAATAAACAAATTAATGAATAAAAAGAAATACAATTTAAAAATAAATTGAAATAGTTTACCAAATACTATAAATATATTGTTATTTAAAGAATATCAATAATAATAAGTTTCGAGGAGCTATTTTAAAACTATGCTACAAATGTTTGTTGTCTCAACATTTTAAATTTAAAAAAAGAAGAAAAGGAAGTGTTAAAAAAATATGAATTAATTACAAATATAAATTCATAACATCTAATAAAATCAAAAAAGTGATAACATCCAGAATAGTTTTATTCAAAGGAAGAATTTCCATTACTGGTTTAATTAACAAAATGAAAAATTTTAAATTTCAAAAATAACAAACTTGTGCATCCGGAATAGCCTGAACTACACATTCCAAAGAAAAGCCGGTCCCGGGAATTACTGTTTGCAACGGAGGTGAGGAAGAGGTTTCGCTAATGATAGGTGGAACTAAAATTTTAAAATTTCAATGAGTTATAATAAATAGAAATTTAGTAAGAAAACATTAAATTACGGAAAACTAAATTGGTCCATCATAGATTTCTCAACATCACTACACATTTATGTATTTTTTGGTTTTTTTGTAACAATACGTTAATGTCTTTTTATTTTTACGTCGTGTCAAAATACTATTGTGCTTTTTCTGGCTTTCATGTCATGTGACAGTGCGTTAGTGCTTTTATTTCGATCTTTACGCCATGTCACGATTTATACGCTAATTTTTAATACGCATTTTTAATTTCCACGTCATGTCAATACACGTTATGTCACAATATGTTTATATGCTTTCTAGTATGCATCTTCTATTTTCAACTTTATTACTAAAATTTCAAGCAATAAAAATTTATTAAAAACCTACCCAAAACATGTAAATCATATATTTTCTTAGCTTCACCCGCAGTATTCTGTGCAACACACATGTATCGAGCAGTATCCGTGATCTGCGCCAATAGAATGTGCAAAATTCGACCACGAGAGGAAACCTAGTAAAACGATGCGTTTTCAGAATTCTTTCCATACATTTCAAAACTTTAGCAAAATATGACAAATGACAACAATAACAACAACGACAACAATTAACAATAAAAACATTAACAACAATAACACCAACAAAAACAGCAACAACGATAGTTCAATTTATTTCGTCCAAAAATACCAGAAAATAAATGAACCTGAAGGTAACTATTGATTGTAGAACGTGACTCGCTTGCAAATTCGATAGCTTTTCCGTCACGTAACCATTCAATATCAATTGGTTCGGTGCCCGAAACATCACAAAACAAATCTTTTGCTTCATTAACAAATACCTCAACTACTTCCTGCTTGTCCCCAGCTATCACTGGGCTTCCTAAATAACTTTTCAACTGGTACTTTAAAGTTAATTTTATTGCTATTACTGATTTAACACATATAATTGTTATATCATATATATGTATGCAGTATCAACTTACTCATAACTTGAAGATAAGTTTCCAAATCAGCTAAACCAATATCATTTGTTGCTATACATGTATATCTGTAAATAATACAAAATTATTACCTAAATTGTTTATTTCATTTTATTAAATAAGTCATATTTTTTTCTAATTTTTATTTTCTACTAAAATAACAAGATTTTTTTTTCTTTTAATACATAAAAAAGTATTAATTTCTAGTATCCACGCATATAAAAGATATTTTTTTATTGTTCTATAAAAAAAGCTTTTTTTATGAGTTTTGAAAAATAAATAAATAAATAAATAAAACAAATAAACCTACCTTGCATCATCAGCCATAGAAGTATCGCTTATTTCAAGTTGCCGTCCACCATTTAAGATAGCAAAATGTTTATCATTCTCTAATGCTTGTCCATTTTTAAGCCATACTATTGATGGTTCAGGGCTGCCGAATACTGGGCAATTAATAATTGCTGTTCGACCTGCATTCACCTGCATACGATGTAAAATATTTGGTCCTTCAATTGTTGGTGCTTCTAAATTTGTACTTTTTTTAACCAGAAATAGATTATTTAAAATATTTCCTTAAAAAAAATAATAAATACTACAGTTAATCATTTTCCTCCCAAATTCTTTTCAAAATAAATTATTCAATTACCAATATTATTCATCAAATATAGAAAAAAATTTTTTGAAAAATTCCTATGTTTTAGAAATGTTTTATGTAAAAAAATGAACGTCAAATTATTTAATTATGCAGAAAATTGCAATTTTTAATTTAATTTTTTTCTTAAAATATTCCAGAACAATTATTTTACCTAATAATTTCACGATGAAATCACGCTTTTCCTCGCCAGCTGGATTTCGTGCAATGCAAGTGTAACGATCAACATCATCCTGAAAATGTATTTTCTAATCTCAACATCATTCCGAAATAATGTTTCCGGTAGGTTATTTTCTAGTCTAAACATTAATGCAGAATAATAATTCCAGAAAATTATTTTCTAGTCTAAACATTATTCCGGAATAATATTTTTCTTTTTTTTCTCTGAGTGGTGCAGAACGATTCATAACCTCTTAACATTTAATAAAACACAATTTTTTAGGTGATAAATTTTACTCCTTTTTCCTGCTCGTTGAGAAAGATCAATATAAAATAATTTTCAGGTCAAAGTCGACATAACATTCTTTTCTAGGTCAATGTTAAAAAAAATACACTAATCAAATAAATTTTGATTAGAATCTTGAAATTTTCTGATACTTAGCAATAGATTCATCAAGAATTTTTTGCTGGTTAGTAATCAAGAAGAAATTGTTCAACTTTTAACACTTAATTGAGTGAATTTTTAATTTAATAATCTTTTTTTTTTTTCATGTTCGTTAAGATATTCATTTTAAAATAACTATCACAGTTTGAAAAACAATCTAATATCCATTTTAGGGTATTTCCTTATTTATTTTAAAATATTGATACAGTTTTAAGATAAGTATCAAAATGAATTTTGTATGAAATGATAATAAACCTTTTTTAAATTTAAAAAATGTAATTTCCTTCCGTTAGCTGATAAATAAACATCAGAATCATGATAAAATGGTTTATCATCCTTTAACCATGCTACTGTTGGCGTTGGACGACCATATGCAGGACAATTAATTGTCAAAGCGCTTTGTGATTTACCGCTGATTTCGGTACGTATCGCCTCGCTTTCTATTTTTGGTGGTGCTAAAATAAATTTTTTTATGTTTTAAATGTACATTTTTGATTAAAAAGAAATAATAATATAAAAATTTCAAAGATCAAAGATTAGCATACTTCTTGAATTACAGGAAAAAAACAGAAATTTTCTATTGAAAATTTGGGGAGAAAACATTAGAGATTGAAAAAAAAAAATTATATTAAAATTAAAAATTTACTCATAACATATAATAAAATGTCTTGTTCTATCATTCCAGCCTTATTTCGTGCTTCACATGTATAACGGCCTGAATTTATAACCTGCAATATTGCAATCAAATTTCAATGAATTATATGAGAGCTGTTTAAAAAAAAAATTCAAAAAACAAACTGTCATTTCTTTTTTTCTTTTTTTTGATTTTAAGTAGAAAAATTAACAAAATAGAAGAAACTAAAAGTATATATTATTAAGCAATTTAATAACAAAAATGGTGCAATATTTTAATAATTTTTTATTAATCATTTAATAATACACTAATTTACCTTAGTTTTACAGGTAACTTACTTTTACATTCGTGATTTTTAGATCATTGCCTTTTATATGTCCTGTATCAATTCGTTTTGTAATGTTAATTGATGTAAGGAGCTCACCATCTTTAAACCATTCTACTATCGGTTCCGGTTTACCAGTTACCGGGCAACTTAATGAAATTGCACTGTTTTCGACTACAGTTCTACAATTTATATATAATGTAATTTTTGTTATAAATTTTAAAATTGACAAGTATTTTAACAGTTCTATTATCATTCAATTAATATTTATTGTTTATTCAAAATTTATTTAAAAAAAAAGAAAAAAAAAAAACTCTCTACCACGAGATATTCCCGTTATCTCTCTATTAACAGCTAATAGATTTTAGTTATTTAGTTAGCTATTAAACAAGTCGTATTAACCGGCAAATTATCTTTATATGCAAATTTTCTTATAATGCTTTGTGAAATTTTAAATAAGCAATAATAATAGTAATTGAAAGAAAATCTTAAGCATACAAATATATGAAAAATAAATTTTAAATATGAATCGTTATGAATTAGTATGAATTTGCAAATTGTTATGCATCATTACAATTTAAGAGTTCAAGCTAATTGCTATAATAATTCATTCTTCTAATGATTTCTCTATTTTCAAATGAAATATCACACCTGTTCTTGTCCTTATCTAGAATTAATATTTCTGGTGGAAGTAGAATGTTTAATTTATAGTCGACTCTTGATTCACCGGCATCATTCCGGACACGACAACTGTATCTTCCTTCATCAGGTAGATGAGCTCTTAATAATGAAAGTATAAAATTTCAGAAGAATAAGGTATCATTATACATATCACACTGAAAGTATGGTACATTCAAAAGATAAGGTAAATCACTCTCGGTAGATTCGCGATGAGAAAGAGAGAGAGATCCTAGAATTTCAAGAGATTAAATTTGTAAAATATTTTTGAGAAGAAAAAGAAGAGAAAAAAAAAAGTGGAAGAGAAAAATTCATCAATATCTGAAATTAAAAAATGGCAATGCAAAACTGCACTTTTATAATTGTAATGACTGCTTGTTAATTAAATTGTAATTGTTGCTTTAATTCTACTTTTAAAAAAAATGTTTAAAAATTACTGATTAATGTGAAGTTTACGACTTAGCTGTGATATTGCATATTTCTGACCATCAATTTTCATTGGTTGATTATCTTTTAGCCTGAAATTATCATGATTATTTAAAATTCTTTTTTTTTTTTTTCACTTCTTAATTCCATTTGATGAATAGTGCTCTCAAAGATCAGTGCAATTTCCATTAGAGAGAATTATTCGATTAAATGTATTCTTTACCTATTAATTTATTAATAATTTGATTAGTATATTGTTAACCTGTTTAAATAAATCTTATCTAAATTTTCCTTAATCATAAAAAACATTAGTGTTTTAGTTCTACTTGTTAATACTGCTAACATCTTAAGGCTTATTTCAATCAAGTAAATGAACAAAAATGAGAATTAGACTTTATAAAATTTAAAACATGCCAAGTTACTTCACCGGAAAATCTTTTGTCAATTATTGGACAATGAATTACAGTCGAATCATTCCGTATCACTTCAATTATTTTCTTCACTCCTTCAGCTATTGCCGGAAGAGCTAAATAAAATTTCACTAATTACTGCTTAAATAAGCAAAATCTTAATTTTTTTCTCATTAATTAAATTTAAATTATGACTGTCACATTCTCACATAACTTTTCCCAATTTCCAGAAATGTTGGCAATTCCTAATTGAATGGCACCATAAAAGTTTTTTATGGATACATGTTTATACTTTCACTTACTTATGACATCTACATCGAAGCTAATTTCCGCTTGGCCAACTTTATTTCGCGCTAAACACACGTAAGATCCACGATGTTCCACACTGGCTTGTGCAATTCTAAGCTGTTGTCCGTCTGAAAGTGCCTCTACTGAAATTAATTCCAGTGCTGACTTACCATCCTGAAAAGAATCACATATATTAACACAATAATTCATTTAAAGTGTTGCAAAAACGCACAAGCAAAACAACAAATAAGTAATTCAAATTAACATTTCTCAATTTTAAAGAATTTGTAAAGAATATCACTAATAATGGTTATCAATCATTAATATTCATTACTAATATGTTGATTATCATTAGCACATTAATAATATATCAATTATCAGTGATATATCACCAATATGCCGCTTATCACTAGTACACTGACTATCACTGATACACCACTGACATCCTAATGTACTATTAATATCGATTATTTAGAAAAAAAAAATGAAATCACACTTGCTAAATTGCTTTTAACCTTTATCCAAGTGATTGTTGGATATGGCTCGCCTTCAACTTCACATGGTAAAACCAACGAATTATTTTCAATTACTTTATACAATCCACCTATGCTAGTAATTGTTGGTGGAGCTGTAAAATCTTTTAAATCTTTACAAATTTTTCAATGATAAATAACAACAATAACAGCAATGACAACAGCAATAGCAATAACAAATATTGATATAAATCAAATTCAAATTACAACAGTATTATATTAGATAAAGCTTTTTGGTCAACAAAATTTTGCTAATTTCAAATCATATATCATTAAAAATTCTCCAAAACTTTTATAATGTTTTAAAATTAATTTACCAATTACTGATAATCTATAATTTTTGCTTGCTTCACCAGCTTTATTACGTGCCACACAACTGTACGTTGCTTGATCATCCGATTGAACATCAGAGATAACAAGCTGTCGTCCACTATTTAAAATCTGAAATGCAACTGATTTAAAAACTTTCAAAACCATTAGAAAATATAACAAGCTGGCAATAAAAGAAAGATAAATTTGACTAGATGTATTTATCATCTATTAAACAAAAACATTTAATTAATTAAAAAAATTTACCACTTCCTTCTCTATTCAGTAAATATTTGAAACATTGAAATATGTGATACTTTAATAATTATTACCTGTATATCATTATTATTAGGAATCAATGGGATAGAGTTTTTAGTCCATGAGATATTAACATCGGAAGTGATCATTAATGGGCATTCAAGGCTTATTGGTTGATGTGCAAGTGTTTCAATTAATGCTGTTACATTAGCATTTTCCATTTCTATAAAATATTTCGATATATTTAATATGAAAATTTTTAAAAGATAAATTATTTATGTTGCAAAAAATCAACATACCAGGTTTCATAATAACATGCACATTAAATGTTTTCTCGGCACGACCAGCTTTATTGATAATTCCACAACGATAACTTCCAGCACTATTAGAATTCACTGATAATACTAATGCAGTTCTTTTCTCATTTAAAAGCTATAATTAAAATATTAGCTATCGATAAGAGAAGATTAGTATGAGTTAAGTTTATTTGAATTATTTTGATAATCGCATCTATTTAAGTTTATTTGAATCATTAACAATTTGATCTTATATATTAGACAAATTTTTAGGATTACTATTTCTTTTGTTTTTTTTTTTTTTGAACTGATAATTTGACTTTAAAAATTTTCGCAATAGAATTTTTTTCTTCCGATTAACTTATTTGTCTCCCAATATTTAATTCTTACATTTCATTGTTATGAAGTTTTTATTTTTTATTTTTTAATGAGTACATATTCCTGATAAATGAATTAAAAAAATAGACGATATAACAAGATTCATTCACCTGTACACTATCATCAATATTAGCACCATCTTTAAACCAGTACATTTCTGGAATGGGGTCTGCTTCAAAATCACATTCAAGTTCTAATGATTCATCTTCCACAATTGAAATATATTCAACTGCCTTACCAATAATACTTGGAGGAACTGTAAACAAAAAAGAAAAACATTCAATTTTTAATTACGATATGTAAATAATTTCAAAATATGAATTCATAATTACGAATATAATTTTCATCAATTTCGAATTATGAGTCACACTTGTAGTCAATCTCAAAATATCATTTCATAAATATGACCATATTTGTAAACAGTTTTAAGACATGAATTTATCATAATTATGGGTATATTTCTAATCAATTTCGATTCACCAATTTATAAAAACATGTTCTATTGCTACGTAAAGATTTAGTAAAAAAATTTTTCAAAATATCTACCAATGACTGAAACATCAAATTCTCGTGTTGCTTGACCAGCTGGATTTCTTGCTACACAAGTATACATACCTTCAGCTTCTTTTTGAATACCGGCAATTACTAATTGAGTTTTATCCAATGAAATTTGCATTTTTGCATCATTCGACTATAAAAGAATATAAAAAAGAGATAATGATTCAAAAAAATTTATTCTATTAAATGAAAATTTGAATTGATTTAAGTGTAGTTGACGTTTACTTAAATATATCATCACGTTTCAATTACATAATATTTTCAAATATATAAAGAAGTAAGCCAGAATGATAATTTAATTTATTAAATGAAAATTCGAGTCCATTTAAGTGTAGTTAATGTTTGCTTAAATGTGTATTACAACAAAGAATTGAAGTAGTTAAAGAAGTTTAAATTACAGCTCAAATCTTAATATAATAATATATTAAGTAATATAATAATAAATGTAAGAAAAGGAAATGTCATACTAGCCTATCTTTAATTAATAAAAATAATAAAAATTAAATGGCAATGATTTATTCCATTTCTATTGATTTATTTAACCAGAAAAAAAAAAAGAATTTTTTATACAGACCGTTATTGGACGACCATTTTTAAACCATTCTATATCAACGATATTAATTGGTATGACCAGTGGACACTCTAATGTTATCGCATTTCCTTCGACAACTTCAACTGACGAATAATTATCAGAATTGATAATTGCTGGAGGAACTATCATCTGAAAGCGAATAAAAAAATGGTTGCATTAAAAATATACAAAATATAACAATAATAGTAACTAATAATAAAAGCATTTTTAGTAAAAATTATTTTTATAAGTTTTATGATAACACTTCAATATAAATGAAATAATTACTTTTATCAGCCTTAGTGACAATACTTCAATATAAGCGAAATAAAAATACGATTGGAAATTTCAGAAAAAAAAAAATAAGCACACCTGAACAAGAAATTCACGTGATATATTGCCAGCTTTATTACTTGCAATACATGTATATCTGAAAAAAAAGTGTTAAAATTTTAACATTTATCAATTACCATTCCATTTCAATTCATATTTTTAATTTAGTGATTAAAGACTTATAAAACTTTTAAAAATTAGATGAAAATTAAATTTGATAAATGTGTTGATCATAAATAATACTAATAATATAAGTTAGTATAATTGATTATTTAGTTCTAAGATTACTTCGTCATTTAAAATATCTGAACTCTTTGTGAAATTCTGCTCAAATGCGCTAATATTTCTGTAAATAAATAAATAAATAAATTTTTAAACAATTTTTTTTTTCTATCAAAGTGAAAACCTGAAATTTTGCTTATTAATATTGTTTAAATTTTCCAATAATTCTGTAAAAAAATAGATAAAATTTTCAAATAATTTTTTTTTCTACTACAAATGTAAAAATGTGAAATTCTGCTTATTACTACTGCTTAAATTTTGTAATATTTCTGCAAAATAATAAATAAATAAATTTTTGAATATTTTTTCCTCCTACAAATGTGAAAAATTACGTTCAAAATACACCTATGATTAGCATAATCATTATGTTGTACAACTAATTTTTGATTTCGATCACTCATTGAAGTATGATTTTCATTTAGCATTTGACCATTATGTAGCCACTGGACATTTGGTAATGGATGACCATCCACATAACATATCAATGATAATGCCATCCCCGATGTCACTTGAATGTTTGTTTCGTATTTTTTATCACGAAAAGTTGGTGGTACTATAATAATTAAGCATATAATAAATATATGAAAAAACAAAAAAAAAAAAAAAAAAACAAAAAAAACAAAAATGAAATAAGGATAAATCGTAATTTAATTTATAAAATGTATTAATTTCAAATATTGTAAATGTTATTAAATAATAAATTCGAAATATATTCAGAAACTTCCAAAAACTATAAATGTGATAATGAAACAAATACATAATGCTTGAATGAATAATTTAAAATGAATCATTAATTGTAAATAGATTAGATTAGTATTTCTATGATCTATTTTATCTCACAGTATGTTATATTTTAAAAATAATTAATTATGAATAGGATAGGACAATCAATATTTCTATTATTAGATCAATTCAATATTTCATCCACTAGATCAATCAGTAATGGTTTATCCTATCCTACAATATATTAATTAAATGATATACCTAAAACGTTTAATGCGAAATTTTTAGTGCTTTCACCGGCGCTATTCCTCGCTCGACACTGATATATGCCCTCATTAAGAATCGTTGCTTCATTAATGTACATGCGGCGTCCATTTAAAACGATTTGTGCATTTGTTGGTAACATTTCAAAACCATTCTATAATATGACACAAGTACCAAATGTTTTTTTTTTCCAATAAATAAATACAAAGATTTAATATTTGATTCGATTTCCTTTTTTATATCTTACAGCTATGAATTATTAAAGTAAATATTTAAATTTGCTTTTTTTTTTTTTTTTTTCAAAATAAATTTAGTACATTTATATCTAAAAATTAAGTTTTTAGCATGTTCATGTTTAATTTTTTACACTAAAATTCAATATATTTTATATGTAAAAATTATATACGTTTTTGTTCTAAGAAGAAATTCATTTTGTTTTTTAATTCTTTTTTAGTTTTTGACTTCAAAATTATGTGATTTATTTAAAGTTAAATTTAAATTATTCATAAAATATTAAAACAGAAAAGAAAAGAATTATTTGTTTAATGAATAATTAGCATATATGATTTAAAAATTAAATTTTTAGCATGTTTATATATAATTTTAAGAATATGAGTTTTTTTTTTTTTTTTTTTAGGCAAAGACAAATAAATAATTGTGTTTACAATTGACTCTTTTGAAAATAATAGCGCTTAATTGGATATAAAGTCGTGTAATTATTGTTTACTAACCATAAGCCATGAAATGGTTGATTTGATTCCCTCCTGTTCCACCAAATCACAATTCAATATCACACTTTTTCCACTGATTACTTCCAATGATTCATCAGCACCTAACTTTGGCGGAGCTAAAAATAATTTTTAAGAGTACTTTTAATAATTTTAAGAGTTCCAATAAAATAATAAGTTAAATTTTTTGAGATTTTTGGCTAATTTCATTAGCTTTTTTATTTGAATTTTTAAAAGCTTTTTTTGGACAAAATTAATGATTCAGTTTCAGTTTAAGTTTTAATTTTTCATTACATTACTCTTGATTGACAGGCGTAAGAAAAAAATTAAAATTGTATTTCATATTTCGTTATATAAGTAATAACAAAATATGAGATATGATTATATCCTATTTCAATTATCCATAATAATTTCGAGATTTCCATGGAAGTTTAAAAGTTATCCTTTCAATTAACACTCTTATTATTCATTGCAAACTTAAATTAGTTATATCATAACTCTAAATGATTGAATTTTTACACAGATACTAAACTAATAGCAAAATTAAATTTTTTGCTTGAATTTGATCCAGTTTATTTTTAGTTTATTTTATATTTTATATCAGTTAGCTTATTTCTTTTTTTTGTGACTATAAGAATTCAGTAAGTGTTAGAATTTTTATTAACTATAATTTAAATTCAAATTGACAATAATAATTCTTTCTCATGCATTCATAATTATGACAAATGCGCATTATTGAACATATGTAATTATTTATTAATCATTCTCAAATTTATTTACTATGGTAAACATATAAGTGTTTATAGCGACGTGAAATTGAGGTTAAAAAAAAATTTTCCTTTATAAATATGGTATTTAACTAAAAGTTAATAGTTTTCTGTCAAATATAGAAATTTTTCAAGCAAAAGCAAAAAAAAAAAAAAAAATGGCGCAAATGCAAAGAAAGCAAGTTTCGTATTTGTTTTATGTTTTTATGATTATTAAAATTTTATTTTTTTCAAATTATTTTTATCAATCAATTTTTGTTCTCCTTTTTCCTCCTTGTAACAAAATAATTAATTGAAAAATTTTCTAATTAATTTGTAATAGATGTATATATTTTAAAACAAAAAAATTTAACAAAAATATTTGTTATACTATAAAGTACTAATATTTATCTTTGTTTTTCCTTTTTTTTTTTCCTTTTTTTATTGTAATTTGAGACCAAAAAAAAAAAAAAAAAAAAGAAAAGAAATAAAAGAAAGAAATGAAAGAACGATCAATTTATCAATAAGTACTTCTCATATCTCTAAGCTAATTTTTCAATAAAGCTTCTTAAGCGAAAATTGTACCAAGCAGTGCTAGCATAATTGTCATTCAAATGATTTTTTTTTTTTTTTTATTCTTTCATTCTCTTTCTGATAAACCATTAAAGCTATTTGTCATTGGCTATGCTGAAGGTTGGCAAAAATTTTCTATAAAAATTCATCGATTAAAACGAATAAATTTGTTCAATTTAAAATTTTTTCACTTAGATGGGCAACAAATACTGTTTACTTTTTGTAAACTTCATTTTTTATTTTAATGCCTTGAAATGTTTAAGCTTATCAAAATAATATTAAGTAAGATTCTTTTCTCTCTCTCTTTGTCTTTCTTTTTTTCTTCCCCTTAGTTTGTCCAGTCTTAGATATATACATTTACAGCAATTTATGAAGCAACAACAAATAATTTTTTTAGGAAAACTCTGAATTTTTTTTTAAAAAAAAAATTTTTTTTAAACTTTGAGTAAATTTTAAGATTCTCATCAACATTTTTTAATAATTAAAGATTAGAAGTGGAAAAAAAGAAACGAAACCATTGAAAGGGAAGCAAAATATTGCTAGTGCAAAGGATTAAAAAAAAAAAAAAACTAAACAAAAATTCTAAAAGTCTAAAATTATAAAGATATTAATCAAATCCAGTTTCGCATCCAGAAAATTATTTCGCATATTAAAAAAATAAAAAAAAAATAAAGAACTGGAAATAGTTATTAGTGCTTAAAATTAAGTGCTAATTGCTAATTACTGTCTTATCAAATAAACAAACACGTTTCTTTCATCCATTAACTTTTGAAAACTTTTTGTTAGAAATGCTATTTTTTTTTGCTCTTCTTAATTAGCGAGGATGTTATTTCAGAATGATAAATAAATTATTTCCCCAAATGCATCTTGTGCCAATTAATCGCTATCAATTATTCATATTTATTAAATTTTAACTGAATTAAAAACAACAACTGAAAAAAATAATAAAATTGCAAAGTGTGATGATTTCTTGCTTTTTTTTGTTATTTTGATATTTTTACAAAACTTTTTAAAATGTTATGCATTGGTTTCTTTTTTGTTGAGACATATGTGCCAAATTTTTTCATTTAATACAAATTTAAAACTGAAGATATTTTCCTTCACATAATCAATTCATTCATTTATCATACAACAAAGATTGAATAGATTCAAATATTTCGTTTGATTCAATTCAAATATTTTTTAAAATTATCACATCCAATCCTATGACACCAACTAAAGCAGTGACTGATAACATAGTGGCAATGAATCATAAATAGAGCACAAACACTCATTTCCTTACTTTTTACTTTCATAGTTCAAAGTTAGAATAAGAGTTACTTTACTTCATTAGAGTTAGAGTTATTTTATTTTACTCTTATATTATTTTACTATTATCGCATATAATATCCGATCTTATGATATCATTTATCGCATATTATTTGTGATTTCAAATTTTCATCCATTTTCATCAGTATGCTGTACAATTATTATCTCTCCATACATTTACTTTCTTTTCGTTTTTTTAAAAGATAAAATTTCATGTTTCCCATTTATTTACTGTTTTTTTTTTCCTCAAAAACCTAAGTGATTGAATATTTATTTGTTGTGTTTATCATGAATTTATCAAAATAATAAATCAATCAATTGTTTATTCTAAATTTATTCTAGTCAATAAATTATCCATTTCTTCATCTTATCTCCTTTTTTCTAAATTCATCTTTTATAACTCAAATGAGTTAAAGTTTGATAAGTTTTACTACTTAATCCATATTCATTCATCTGACTAATTTTCTATACATTAGTCTGATTTTATTTTATAAACTATTAATTGTAATCTTATTATTAGCGATCTCTTCAATTTAAAAAAAAAAAAAAGAAATTAATCGCTAATAATAAAACTCTAAACATGATCAATTATTTTTTTCATTAAACTTTTCTTTCTTTTTATGCAATTATTTAATTTCTAATTTTTTGATAATTAAAAGGAAAAAATAGCTAATAGGTGGTAGTATATTTTTTTTTTTCGAATTTTAAATCAAGTTAATTTGATGCTTTTTTTAGAATTATTGAGAAATAGTACTTTAATACAAAATGTTCATGGGGAATTTGATTAAAAATCAAATGCTCTCATTTTTTTTCTTTATCCTCATACGCTCAATTTTTTGTTGACAAAAATTTTTTTCTTGTTATTGGCAATTGTGCAAAATCAATAATATCAATGACACACAAACGACACATTTCCGTTACTTGAAAAAGTTTTACATTCTTTCATGCGACATATCTATCTATCCTTTCTTCCTTTTTCTTTTTATGAAGAAAAATAGTAAATTTTTTTTGAAAATGTAACCACTTAAAATTGCGATATAATTTATTCATTAAAGAATATTTACGAATAAATTTTCACCTAATTTATCTTGGGGTGAAATAAAGATTATGGTAAAATTGAAAAGTGTGATTTTCTTTTTTGATAGTAAATTTAATTTCTGTGTTACATTTATATTAGTTGAAATAATCAGTGATATGATATATATTCTAATAAATCAGTTCTAAAAATATTCTAATATATATTCCAAAAAATATTCTAATAAAATATATATTCCAATATATATTCTAATAAATCATATAATTTCATTAAGACTTGTTAATAAGTATTAATAATTATTACCATTATAAAATAAAATTGCTACAACTTTCTAATTTTTAATTTTTATCTGAACAAAAAAGAAAGAAACATTTGCTTCTAACAAATACAAAATTAAATGTTATAATAAAATAATAATTAAATTTTTATTGCAAGTTCTGTATTTCTAATTTCGGTATTTTTTAAATTTTTTTGTAGTAAAACGAATAATATTAAGAGCAAAATGATATTTTCATACATTCTTTTCATCATGATATATTTCTTTAAGAATCAATTTAAATGAATAATAAAAAAAGAAACATGGGTAAATTTTATTTTATTTTCAGGCAATTCAATAACTTAATTAAGAAATGACAAAATTAAATTTCAAAAGTGGCAAATCTGATGGATTGAATGAGCAACAACAGACAAATGGTAGTGATAATGATAAAGCCACCATAGAGAACTCCGAAAATAATAAAAGTAATGAGGTATATTATTTGTTATAATATTAGCAATTAAAAAATTGTTGATATTGTTTTCAAATGAGTTATCACAATTAGCTTTATAAAATCTCTTAGTAAATGTAATAACCTTATTTATTTATTTAGTAAATTTTATAGTTTGCAAATTATTGTTGTTATACAATTTTTATTTACATAGCAATCATTTACTAATTTTGAAACAATTTAAATTTTGATCATAATATAGTTCAATAAGTATTTCGTTTATATAATAATTGATATGAAGTATTTTTTATCAATACAATTATTTGTCTACTACAGTAAATTGCTAATCATTTATATTTTTAACAAATTTTGTTTGATATTATTATTCCAATTATTTATATTATTATTTTTTAAATAACTTAACGAACTATAGTATAAATTATATCCTTGAAAAATCACAAAATTTTTTAAGAGAAAATGCGTGTAAAATTTCATTAGCATATTTTGCCTTAATTTTTTTCAAAATTTTTTGATTCTTTTGGGTCAAATTATTTTAATTTTAACTCATTCATGTAACATATCAAAGTAAAATGTACAAACTTTAAATTTCATTTTTATATTTTTTATTTTCAATTTCATATTGTTACTTACTATTTTAACTATGAAATGCATTTGTGTTTGATTTATTTTAAAATACTTTCCTTTTTGTTTTTTTCATTTTAACAAATCAAAGAGAAATAGAGTAAGAATGATGCGATGGGAAGAAATGTTTGAGGAATTAAATCCCTCAATTCTACCTCATTGAACATTCTTCAATTTTTTTTCTTTTCCTTTTTTTTGTAATTCTTTTCTTGCATAGATAAATTATTTAGTTACACATTTATGCATTATTTATACAGCTTCTATTTTATTTTATATATTTTATCAATTTGATTATTTATACTAGTAATTTGCGAATAATTCAACAAATTAAAAATAATATAAATTCATAATCATAAATTTGAAAAGTACAAAAATGATTGGTTTTCCAAATTTTTAAAAAATAAATTTTAATTATCATTTTTTTTGAAAAAAAAATGTGCAAAATGTTACTATCATATCTTTGCTTTATGTCAATAAATAAAGCACTTTTTCTTCATTTCTGAAATTTTATGTGACAGTTTCTCCTTTTTCATTTGTCATATTTTGCTGGAAAAAATTTTTTTACACTTGTTATATTTTATTGGCAAAAAAAGGAAAAAAATTAATTGTGGGATAGAAAATTTGAACAGTCTAGCAGAATTGCAAAAGATAACTAATTGTTTCTTTTTTCTTTTTCTTATGGCTGTTTTAAAAATAAATCATTCTTCTTCATTCTTCTTCTAATTTTCAGCATTTGTCGCATACCAATGTGACAGTTTAATTTCAAAAAAAAAGTTAAAAAAAAAAGATTTAAAAAAGGGTCAAAAATATATTAATGCACTTCATTTTTAATTTTCCACGAAAAAAAAAAGACCTGACAGTGAATTAGTCAATGCTATTTAATTTTTATCATTCATTTACTTATTAAAATTTTTTTCCTCTCTTGGTTATGCGTCCATTTATATAATTTATCATAAAATTTTATACCACATATCATGCAATAGAGATAAGTATGAGACCTTTGATAATAACTTATTGTAGAGATAAGTGTGACATCTTTGTTAATAATATGTAATAAGGGTAAGTCTTAATGAAAACAAAAGATATAACTAAAATTAAGGCTAAAAGAAAAATAAGACTAAATTTTAATGAAAACATGAGATAGGACTAGAAATGAAAATTTTTTTTTTTTAAATTTTTATGCAGCAGTCGAAAAAACATTTGGAGGATGTGCTTACTACGCTGGGATTAAATTTGAAACAGGATGACACGGGGACAAATATCGGTTTCAGTTGTATTGGTATGGATTGGTCATTCATGCTACAAGTTGCTAATGCACAAGCAACATTATCCATTGTATGTTATTTATTTATTTATTTACACTGGAAATTAGAAATTGTTGAGCAAAAAAAAGGAAAAAGGAATAAAATTAATTTAGGAATAAGTAATTGCAAAAATTTCTGAAGACAAAATGTTAAATTTTAATCTTATTGAAATTATTAAAGATTTCATATATTATCACAAAAAAAAAAAAAAAAATCATAAATGGATAATTTTTTTAATTTCGCTTATTAAATCGAAATATTTTTTATAATTATTTTTAGTTATTCGATCAACTTTTAACTTTTTTATTTCTTTAAAAGAAAATTTCAATCAAAAAGAAATTATCAAAATATTTCAATTTCTATCATGAATTTTTTACTAATTTCAAGTAAAAAAAAAACAAAAACAAATTGTGTCTAAATTGAAAATGGCCTAGATTCAGCTACTCATAGTATGTTTGACGAGTTCAATGTTTCTAACCGGTTATCGTTTCATATCTTCTGCATGGGCAACTTATTTGCTTTCTTGCGCTTATATTGGAATAAGAGCGTAAGTTATTGATATACAAAATTAAAATTAAATAAGTTAAAACAATAAAGTTTTTCAAATAAAATTCGTCAAAAGCTTATTTATTTCAAAAAAAATTTTTTTTTTTTATTTTCTTTAAATCTATCAAAAGTTTATTTATTCCAAAAATAAAAAATAAAACAGAATTTTATTTTTCGTTTTTCTTGAAATTTATCAAAATTTATTTATTACTAGAAAAAAAGTACATAACTTTTTAATCTTTATTAATCAATAATATAGCGAAAAATATGACAAAATCACTAGCATCTATTAAATTTCACCTGTTTGTAGCATTTTTATTACTAAATGTGCAAAATATCCATCAAATTAAAATTTATACCAATTTATTATTAGTGAAGAATAATTCGCATTTAGTTGAAATTAATATAAAATTAAATTGTAATTTTAAGCATTAATTGATTTCAGTTACTTAAACTTGCAGCACTAATTATTTAATTTTTTGTATATTAATGAAAAATATAAATATAACTATTAGAAAAAGTCATATAATTTGATTTATTGAGAAATGAAGCTTCGTCCGTTCCCTTTTTTCCGGCATTTTTCCGCTACTAAATATAAATCTGATAATTAATTAAAATATATCACTTATAGTGGACGATGGCAAAATTATTCACATGCAATTGCTTATTGTGGGATGTGTACATTCCAGTCATTCGTCTATATGTCAACAATGTGTTGGTTCTTCTATTCTCTGTACACATTAAATTCGAGCACTCAATCTTATGAATTCAGTATATTTTATTTCCTTTTTTAAAATATTTCTAATTTATTTGTTTCATTTAATAAAAATAATCAATTAAATTTGAAGTGAATGTATATATAAATCAAAATACTAAATTTAAACTTTTGACTTTTAATCGGGAAGATGACAACAATGGAGAAGAAAATAGAAACTTAATATCATCTTCTTTTTTAAATTTTTAGATTTTTTTTTAGAGAATATGGTGGATTATCAAATATTAACCAAAGTTATTATACAATCATTTAATTTCTCATGACATTTTATATTAAATTTTACGAAAAATAATATAAATACTCGATCATAACCTATCACTGATTCACGGATTACTCCACCATAACTTATCATTTATTAAAATAATGAAAAATTTAAACAAAATGCAAAAAAAAAAAAAAAAAAAAAAAACGAGTTAATAACAAAAAAATAATGAAAAAGAGAGAAGATCAGATCAAATTCAAATTCTAGTTCATAGTGCGACACCAGATGCAGCATTAGTATTTGCTTTGGGTGAGGTTGTCTGTATTATGGGTACCGTTCTTACTGGTATTTTTGGGCTAATTTGTTGTTGCCGGGGATTTGGACGACTACTTCATGCACAAGAGAAAATGATATTGGTATGAAAATACTATTTTTCTTTTTTTTCTTTTATTCCAAGGATTAATTTTGCTCACGTTATTTTCATTTAACTTTTTTTTTCTTCCTAACATATAAATTTATTTTTATCATTTTCAGGATTATCAAAATGTTCTCATTGGTGCGTATGATAATGCACGTCGACTAAATATTGTTTAAAAAAAAAATTAAACATTTCACACAAGAAACTTTCATATTTGAAAAAAAAAATTCTTAATTTCTAAGTTTAAGACTAATTAATGAAGATGTTAAAGATACGATTTGATCTGAATGAAATTATTGTCTGAATTGAATTATGGTAAATTCAATTATGAAAAGTGGTCATCAAAGTTTTGCTTCAATTTTTTATGAAAGCTTTCTCATTTAGCTTCTAAACTTGTAAGCAGATTTTTCCATTTTTAAAATGTTTCGAAATTTAGCTCAATAAAGAACTTATTATTAAAAAAAGTATTTTGTTGAATGTCAAATTTTGATTGGTTTCTTTCTCTAAAAAAAATGAAAAAAAAAAAAGAAGAAACTAAACTTCAAATGCATTAAGCTGAACGAAAATGACACTCTATGCTTGTCTATTTGTTCATTTATTTTGTCTCTAGAAATTTAATCTATGATCGAAACTATCAAAATTTAAAAAATTTCAAAAAACACTTTCTGATTGCTTTATGACTATGACAATGGTATATGTCTAATGCATATTCTCTTTATCAATCATATATTATTTACTTATCCACTTATTGCTGAATTCATAGATTAATTTGATAATTTTAAACTGTTTTAATTTTCTATTTGAAAATGTATTAATTCTCTGCTATAATTGCATCTCCCCAAACTCTAAAAATATCAAACTGAAATTTGCTAACTCCCTCTCTCTCTCGCCAATTTTCTTTCCTCTTCACTCTCTTATCAGTATCATATTTGTTTTCAAATGATATTGTATTCAAAAAAAATAAAAGTTTTTTAAAAACTTTCATGAATAAATTTTTTTTAAAATGGTTAATAAAATTTTTTTTCTAAAACATTAAAGTGATAAACGATAAGAAAGTAACCAATTTGTGAAAACTTCTGATAAATTAACGTTTTTTTTTGTTTCGATATCAGTTCATACACTTAATCAATATTAATTTTTAAATTAAATTAAATGGAATTTTGTAAATTCTTAGAATAAGACTAGGAAAATAAAAACATAATTTAAAGCATTAGAAGTAATCTAATTTTAATGAAATATTTAAAAATTTGAAAATGAAATCTTACCAAGAGCAGTAAAGTTTATAGCGTTAGAAGTAATAATTTCAATGAAATATTTAAATATTATAAACTAAAATCTTACCGAAAACAGTAACGTGAATATCGACGTCCAAACTTCCACCTTTATTTGTTCCAACACACGTGTAAATTCCTTCATGCTCCAATTGTGCAGTTTCTATTATTACCTTAAATTAAAATTAGTTATAAACATATCAGAATTTAATGACATTGTTTTGTATTACTTTATTAATTTTCCTGTTTCAGTGATGATTATAAAATGAAACGCATATTAATGCACCAAATATAACTTAACGTTCGCAAATATCAAATGTTATTTATTACTCAGTAATCGTGATTATTTTAATTGTTTAATTACTTTAGTCGTAGTAAATTTAGCAGATTGCTTTAAATTAAATTCAAAGATGAAATGGAATAATTTGTACTTTCTAGGGTTTTTTTTAGTTATCTGATTAAGAGATAAAAAATACAAATTGTTTCATCAAAATAATTCGTCGTTTTTTTGATTACTCCTAATCTATATGGTTTTTTTACTCGTGAAAATAATATGTTTTGTATGAAATTTTCATGATTTTAAACAATAACTAATTATTCCAATAATTAAATCTGAAAAAAAAAAAGATTACAAAAAAAAAAAAAAAAAAATTAAAAAAAGAGATTAAATACCGATTTTCCATCTGATCCTAACATTACACCTCGTTTTATGATACCTTCCTCAAGAAGTTGTCCATTAACGAGCCAAGCAATACTTGGCTCTGGTATACCTGATACTGGACAACCTAACTCGATTCGCTCATTTTCTAGCACTGTTACTTTAATTTTGTGCATATTCTGATTCAGATTCGGTGGTACTGAAATTAATAATACCAATAGCAAGCATATATGTGTCAGCAGCGACAATATTAAATTTAAAAAAATGTTGTATAATTTTTTAAATAAATTATTAATAATTTTTGAAAAAAAATTTTTGATAAAATTTCTGAAACAATTATTCATCAGTGATAAGTAAATTTGACAATATATTAATTTAATTTACCATTTAATCCATTTAAAAATAATTATACACTAACATATTTCTGATAATAAAAATTATGCTAAATAATTTGCATAATATCTTCTTAATAATATTAAATAATTTGAAACCAATTTCCATCATTAATATCTTTATAATATTTCAATGTTTATTATTATTATTTTTCATTTAAAAAAAAAGGAAAAATCTCACCAATAATTTCAACTTGAAATGTTTTAGCTGAATCACCAGCTGGATTTCGTGCTACACATTTGTAATTTCCAGCATCCATTTTACGTGATTCCAAAATGTGCAAACGTCTTTGATCATCCGAAAGGATAATATTTGCATCATCCACTATCAATTGATCATTTAAATACCATGTAATCTAAATTAATATTATTTTTTAATTTGTTTTAATTAAGGTATTTTCAATCAATTATTGTTTAAATAGTTATTTTTTAATTGTGGAAAAATAATTAAATGGAGGTAATTTTAATCAAATCTATTTTTTTTTAAAGGACAAATGATCAATTATAATATAAATAGAAATATTTCTGTTATTTATTTTTTTTTTCATTATAATTGATTGTTGTTCAATTGTGAAAGAATAATTGAATGAAGAAATTTTAAATTGAAACCATTTTTTTGTTGAAAAAATTTTGCTGCCAATTTTTTCTAAAAAAAGATCTTTTACATTCGAATTATTTACCAAATATATGCTAAATTAATATGACTTTTATTTTAAACAAGTGGGAAAGCGAGAGAGAAAAAAAAAGAAAAGAAAAAAGGACAGGAAAAATACCTGTGGTAATGGTATGGAAAAAACTGGACAATAAAGACTGAAAGGTTGTCCAATAATAACTGCATCCGTTATAACTGTTTCTTGATCAGGAATATCAGGTGGAACTATAAATTATCTTTTTTTTTTTTTAATAAATTGACAAAATTAGAAAAAAAACATATTAATTTATTAGTGAAAAAAATTATAAAAAAATAAATGTAGTAATTTTTTAATTAGTTATTGAAAAAAATTATGTTATTAGTTTAATTATTATAAAATTACAAAATATTTAGAAAAAATATAACTAAAAGTATTAGTGGTAGTATGATATGACTGAAATGAAAATGTAATTAAATGAATTTAATTAATATTGTTTCATAAGATTAATCTTTCTAAATTTTAAAATTAAACACATGTGCACACACCCACACGTACAGAAAAGTAAAAATAATTGAATAAATTTCTTATACATATCTTATATATATATTTATTTCCAACTATTTTTACTTTTTTTAGAAAAAAACTAAAAATTTTTCTCCAATGAAAAAAATTTTTATGGATTTTTTTCTCCAATTATTTTCACTTACTTTCTTTTTTTAGAAAAATCTACTTTCTTTTTAGAAAGAAAAAAAGCATTTTTTTTTTTTAAATATTAGTTAAAATTACTTACTTATAACAGTTAATCGAATTAATTTTTCTGCAACACCAGCAGCATTTGATGCTTTGCATATGTAATGACCGCTATCATCATTTTTTACGTTATCAATGATTAATGTTCCATCGCTAGTGATATGCATGTGTGATATGTCATCATCTGATATTTGGATTCCTTTTTGAGTCCATGTTATGATGGGTGCTGGATTACCATTAGCATAGCAACGTAATTCAATATGATCACCTTCCACCGTAGTATAATCCGATAATGTATTTGGTGAAATTATTGGTGGTTCTAAATTTTTAGGTTTTTTTTTTTAAATTTTCTAATTAAAATTTCGTGTTCTTTTTTAAAATAAAAGTTTCGTTATTTTTAAAAATGCAAAAAAAAGAAAAAATGATGTTTTTTTTAGTACCATGTACAATTACAATTGTATTTCGTTCATCATCTCCAGCTGGATTTGTTGCTAAACAACGATAAATGCCACGATGTAACGGTTGAACTTTTTCAATACGTATTGTTCCTGCTGAATCGATATGAATAATATCATTCGGAATGATCTATAATATATTTATATATTGTGCAACATCCGGAATGATTTATAATGTACAATAAAAAATAATGCAATTTATATGTGTTTGTATGAATAAAAATTTTAAATACAAAATGTTATTCATTAAAAACTGCAAATTATCTTCAAAAAAAAAAAAGTAGCCAAGATAGAAATTGTAGAACTTTTAATTTTTTTTTTTATTTTAATCATTTTAATCAACAATAACTTGGATATAATTGGCTAAAAACAAGGTTAACTGCATTATTTGTTTGCTAATTGCAAAAATATATTTTACTACTTATGATTTACCTATATATTCATCATTTAATACAGATTAGTTCAGACAGTCACATATTATGAAAAATTATAACAAAATTAAAAAATGATAATAAATGAAGTAAAAATTAGCATATAATACAAATAAATTTTTTATAAGATAAAAAATAAATAAAAAGTTCACCTGAAAACCATCTTTTTCCCAGCTAATTGTTGGTTCTGGTGTACCAACAGCGCGACATGGAATTTCTAGCATAAGACCAAGTACTACAACAATAGTACCTGGAATAATAAAGTTTAAATACTTGGTTACTTACTGTGCAGTCTTATTGTTCAAGTCAAAATAATTTCATTAGTTTTACTGAAAAAAAAATTTCAAACCTGGTATATCAGATATGATTTTTGGTGGTTCTTGTACTTTTAAAAGATAGGTTATATGATCATCACCAGCTAAATTAGATACATGACACGTATATCGACCTGCATGATTCATTTGTGGAGTTACTATTTCAAGTGATCCATCATTTATATAACTCATCTCCTAAAAGTATACCTTTTTTTTGTATAAATTAATTTCAAACGAAGAGATAATATGATAAGCTGATAACTTAAATAAAGATGAATTTATAATTTGAAGTGGAAAAAGAGGACTAATAATAATATACGTATTCCTAGAAATTATTTTATTTTTATATTCATTATATTAATTTAAATTATGAAATTAAATCATTGAAATCTCGTTCGTTTCAATTATCAGTTATCACTTAGGAACAATTAGCATATGATAGAGCTAGACTAAAATGAGTTGGGTTATAATGCTAGTAAAGCTAATTAAATATTTAATCGATCGATCAACCAGTTAATCAGAAATAAAATGAATGAAAATATGAAAATAACTAACAGATCCACGGCTATGACCTTCATAGATTTGATCACCTTCATAGCTCCATATTCTAGAAGGTAATGGAAAAGCTCGTGCTGGACATGGTAATAATACTGATTGATTAACATTTGTAATTATTATCTTTAGCTAAAATAAAATGGAATTTAATAGCGAATTAATCATTGAATATTTCAAATAATAAAGATGAAAAATCGAAAAAAAAATTTCTTTTTCAATTTAATTACAACATTATTAATTAAATCATTTTTGTATTTATATATCACGAAATAAAAAAGTTTTTTTAATTAACATTAATTAAATATAAACCTGATCAGATCCTTCAATAGTTGGAGCTGTATGTACCGTTAAAGTGATTGTTTTTTCATCCATTCCAATATTATTTGTTGCGACACATTTAAACTGTCCACGATGTATCTCCTGGACATTTGCAATTGTCAATGAACCATCTTTAGCAATGTGACCATCGTTAAATTTGTCACCATTTAAATACCTATTGACATGTTAATTGATTAATTTAACTAAATGATTAAATTAGCATCCTGAGAAATTATTAATTTTTTATTTCATTTTAATTTACCTGTATAATAAATTTTAGCTGTGATTGGAATAAATTTAAATTTAAAATATTTTTAAATAACAAATATTTATCATCGCTCATAGATTAATAAACTAATATATTTATGAATTAATCTTAATGAAATAAAATCAAAATAAATCTATTACCAAGTAATCCTTGGTGTAGAATCACTGCGAACTTTACAAGGTAATGTAATTGAATTGCCCTGAATTAAATTATATGAAATTTGCCCAAGTTCAATAACAGGTGGACCAAGAATGATTACATCAATTGCTTGCTTTGCTTCACCTGCTACATTTGATGCTGTACAATGATATTTTCCTGAATGGCTAACGCTTGTTTGTTGAATTCGCAGTGTGTTATCCGGCTAAAATATATTTTAAAAAATGTACATTAGCATTTTAATAAAATGAAATGTTTAGAAAATATTAGTTAGAAGTTAAAACTACATGTTTCAATTTTATTTTATTTATAAAAAATTTGAAGAAAAAAAAAGAAAATTAAAAAAAAAATTAAAGCTTGCAAATTAAAATTGAACAACAATAAGTTTCAACTCGTTTATTATTATCATTCTAAGAGAAAGAAAAGTGTAATAAAATTTTAAAACTTAATTACAAATAAATTAATTAATTTAATTTTGCGTTATTAATAAAGTATTTGATATTGATAAAACTAACAAGAAGTTCATATTCTGAATCACTGGAACTAATCGATTTACCATTAATGCTCCAAACTATTTTTGGATGTGGTTTTCCAGTAGCACGGCATGGGATTTCTAGCATTTTTCCCGCTGATAAAGTATATTTCAATACATCATTTTTCTCGATTTGAGGTTTTTCTAAATTTAGTTAAAAATACTTCATAGATATGCATGAACTATCTATTAAAATATACATAAATACATAATTCAATTATTTAAGTAATTTTTTTAAACCTAAAAAAAGTAGGCTTAAGAAAAATTTGTGCTATTTTAAAAATTAATTAATATTTTTTAAGTCAAAAATTGGTTTTAAAAAAAATGATTAAAGAATTGAATAAAACGAAAGAAAAACAAAATGAACGCAAATAGCATTCTACAAGAATAGCGATCTAATCTTTGCATGTTGTGCTTATTTACCAAACAACAAAAATTTTGTGAAATTTGAAAAAATATTAGTAATTACTTTTCTTCTTTTTGCTAACATTTTAAATTTTTGAAAAGAATAACTAACTAATCAATTTGACATTAATATTGAGAGAAGCATTGCCAGCTGAATTAGTCGCAACACAGGTATATTGACCCTCATCTTGTGGACGACCTTTACGTAGGAGTAAAATACTACCACCTGATTCTACCTATATTCAAATATTGTTTGCTTTACATTTATGTACATTTAAAATTATAATAAATAAAATATGAATAAGAAACTATAAATGGAGCAAACAAATAACTGAAAAAAAGATAAAAAAGAAAATTAAAAAAATATATACGTAATTGCTAAATGGAAAAGTATTTTTGAAATGATTGATATATGCTTTATACAAATTTAAATAAAATGAATTTACTTTTATCAATTTTATTATTTCAATTAAGACAAAAAAAAATTTACCGTAACATAAATGGAAGATTGTAATGGTTTGCCATCTTTATACCATCGAAGAATTGGTTTTGGTGTTCCAAGAACAACAATACAAGATAAACGAAGTTCTCCATTCTCTAATAATTTCTCTTCTGGTGGTACATGTCCTAATACTGGGTTCACTAAAAATAATAAATAAAAAGACAATGATTTTTTGGCCAAGCAGTATAATGACTGAATGAATTTTTGTAATTTGTAATTTATACATACATAACTTTTACATTTCAACTAAACATTTTACTAATATTATCAAAAAGTTTTAGATTGTTCTTTTTTTTTTTTTTAATTTTAAGAAATTTCAGATAAATTATTGAAAACTAACCAAGTCCAGTAATTAATAATACATTTGTTTTATCTTGACGACCGAATATATTCTCAGCTGTACATGTATAGCGATCTTGATCATCAATTTGAACATCTATAATTTTGAAATTTTTAGAAATCTTTACATAAATTTAGTATGGGTAGAAAGAGAGAGAGAGAGAGAGAGAGAGAGGAAGCGAAAGAGCAGTAATTTATACTATTAATTAGGAGACTTCCATCTGGTAGAATTTTCATACGGTCATTCAATTTTTCAATTGATACTCCATTACGATGCCATTTAATTTTTGGTAAAGGATATCCTATTGCACGGCATTGAAGTGTTACTGATCGTTCAATATTCACTCGGACTATTTCTGGTGTTGGTACAATTGTTGGCATACCTGTAAAATTATTTATTAACTCTTTTTTTTTTTTTTCATCTTCTTCAAACTTTCATAATTTCCTGTATTTAAATAATAATATTGTATTCTAATTATAGATTTTTAATTTATTCTATGCAAATTTATTATATTACAATGAACGTGAATGTCATATAGTTCATTCAAATTACTTATTGCTTTAACAAATAATTTTTTTTTTTCTTTTTTTTGAACAAATATGCTGTTTATTGTTATTGTTATTATTATTATTATCACTATTTATTGCTATTATCACTATTGTTATTATAATTATTACTATTGTTAACATTATTTTTGCATCAAATCAATAAAAAAATTATATATTATCGGTATTTGTGTTGATAAAACTTTAAGCTTTCAAATATAAATTTAAAAAAGTACATACTTCCTACATCAAGATTAATTACTCCTAAATCACGTCCAGCTAAATTTTGCGCGATACACGTATACGATCCAGCATCAGAATCTTGTACTCCCTGTAGCAATTAAAGAATATATTATTATCACGATAACACTTCAGATATTACTTTGATGAAGATAATTTATCATAAAAAAAAAAAAAAAACCTGAATTGTGAGCTTATTTTCATCAATTGTAATATACTTATAACTTGGAACTTCACGTCCTCCACGAAACCATGTAATTTTTGGTCTTGGATTTCCTCGAACTATCTAAACGAAACATTAAATTGAAAAGAAAATAATTAAAGTGATTTAAGTAAAGTATTTTAATAAAAATAAAGCATATTGATTTAATCATTTAATCATAGAAAAATTTAAAGAAATATGCAAGTGATAAGTGGTAAAAAATATCATACGATGCATTCCAATGTGACACTATCACCTCTGCCAATCATTTGTCGATCACGTATAACACGTATTTTTGGCGGTGCTGCAAAATTTCTTTTAAAATATATCATCATCTACCATACTTAAATATATAATCTATTTTATAAATGAAATTAAATGACAACAAATTAATTTTGAAGAATTAAAAGCTAAATTAATAAATAAAATTTTATTAAAAATATTTGTTATATGTTAATGACAAACGCGCACTTCCATTCACATTTCTAACTTATTCAATTCATTTATCAATTCAAACTATTAAATTTAATAAAATTTATCTGAATAATACTTGATATTTGTGCAATCATGCTATCTGCATGTGAACCTGCAGCATTACTTGCACGGCATTCATATACTCCAGCATCAATTTCTGTTGCTTGTTGAACAATTAGATCGTCTACAAAAAATTATTTATTATATATATATATTTTTTTTGTTTTAAAATAGGATAATTTAAGTTTTGTAGAGAAAATTAAAACAAATTAACAAACATTTATAAGTGATGTAGTATTTTTGATTGTTTGGAATAATTTGACGTTCTTTAAAGTACCATTTAGGTTCTGAAGTCATATCGCCTAAAATATTTATTAACAGTATTACATCTCGTCTAAATTATTAACACTACTGTAAACCATTCAATTCCATTCTTTTTTTGGTAAACAACTAAATGTAAAGAATTTTAATATAAAATAAAATTGAACAATTGCACATTTTTACTAATCATATATAAATTTTATTTAATTGCAAACTGAGTTTTACTAGAATTCCATTTAATTTTCAATTAAGTTTATTGGAATTTCATTTCATTCCTAACTGAGTTTACTTTAAAAGAATAAAATAAATTTTAATCAACTACATTTTGTCAAATAAAATCTCACGAAAAACATGTACCATCAATGAAACATGAAATATTAAATGACTGTCCACGTGTGAAATGCAATTGCTGTGGCATGACTTGAACTTTAGGAGCTTCTATGACATGCAGATGCATGACGGCTTCAGCATGACCACCTGATGTTTGCACATGACAATGATAAATGCCTTCGTCTTGCATATTAACATCAGTAATCATCAGTGTACCATTAGCATACAAACGCTGCAAAAATTATTTCGTTAGTTAGTGAATGATATTTTCACACAGCATTAATGACCTTATGACTTAATAATAACCTACTTAGTGCTGCATGCTTACTTTGAGATATTTCATTAATGAAAAGTAATGCTTTGATTTTTTTAACATGAATGACCTTTTAACCGAATTTCGTTATATTTGCATGCTTACTTTTTTAATTTAACTGTGTCATACCGTTTTAGCCGTATTATCAATCATTGAATCGTTTTTTAGCCATCGCGTTACAGCGTTGAAATTTTCAGTGCGACAATGCAAAAATGCTGCACTTCCTCGTGCTATTGATTCATTTCGAATGGATGTGATCACAGGTGCTTGTTCTAAATTCTTTTTTTTAATGAAACAAATTGAATTTAAAAAAAAAACTATTGAAATTTTATTATTCGAAACTAAGAGATAAGCTCTGTGATCAAATTAATAAATCAAAACTGTACACAGTGATCAATGAATAGTGAAAATTTTTTACGATAGTTATCTAAACTATTTCATTTCCTTCTAGTATTGCTACTATAATAAATAGGTATTCTAGCATGAACAGAACGACTCTATCTATTCATTTTTCATAACTTTAAAACTAATAAAAAGTTAAGTAGGAAAGAAATAGAGCAAAATGCAGCTATATTTTCTGACTTAATCTAGTGCAATATAAGTAATTTATGAAAAAAAAATTTTTTTTTCTCAGTTAAATTTAAATAATTTATTGATGAATATTTAAATAAAATAACAAGTAAAATAAACGAAAAAACTGTAAATATAACCTTCTGTTTCAAGGAATGTAGTAACAGTATGATTTCCGGATGGACTTATAATTATACAATGATAGTAGCCACGATCTTGTGGAGTAATTGCTTGGAAAGTCCAAACAGATGTATCCGAATATCTATAAAATTGAATTCATTATAATACTTCTCTAATTGCTAAGTTAATTTAATTATATAAAAAAAAAGAAAAACAACAACAAAATACATTGATTAAAAATATATTATGATGAAATAAACTTACGAGTAAAAAAGTGGTTCACCAAATTGTTTGTTATCTTTATACCAATAAAGTGTGAATTCACCTTTTGAAACTACTGAACATGTCAAATTAAATGGCTGTGAAATGGTTGCTATCATACGATTAGCCATATATGCTCTAAACAAATATACACAATCATATCATTGTTAAATGACCAAATTAATAAAATAAACTAAATATTAATAAATAACAAATAAAAACAAAATTAAAAAATAAATTTTAACAATACCGACGATAAGAAAAATATATAAAAAAAAGAAAAAAAAAAACAAATGAAAAGCTAAAAAGTTGAAATAGGATGTATTTAAGAAAAAAACAAAACAAAGGTGAAGAAAAATAAACAAACAAAAATAAATTTATGCCTTAATATATTTAAGGAAAAATGGAAAATGAAAAAAGAAAAAAAAAACGAACAAAAATGAATTCATACCTTGGTCCCGTGGTTTTAATAACTGAAATTGCTGTTGGTGCGATTCGTTGAAATTTATATGATTGGTCATCATCACCTCTTACACGAATAAAAAATAATCCATTTGGTGGTATAAATGGTCCAATATAATATGAATATGAATTATTCATATGCATTGTTGCTAATTTTGTTAATAATTCATTACCATAATAATCAATTAATGAAATATCAGTTATCATTCCCGGCGCTATTAATCCTTTCATTGTAACAATTAAATAAGTATTTTGATAAGCAATTGGACGTGGATGTGACTAAAAATATTTGCTATTTAAACAATTTACGTGAATAAAAAATAATTTTATTATATAAATTTAAAATTTAAATAAAACAAATTAAAAAACAAAAATTAATTAATTAATCACAATAACTTTTATCCTTACTAATTCCATTCTATCCGTTAATTTGACAACAAAACCATATTTAAAATCAATTGCACCATGACCAAGCACGCGTAGCGTATGTTTTAAACGACTTGATGTACGTATTTTCCAAATTCCTGGCATTGGATTTCGAATTCGAATTAATTTAATATTGCTCAAATCAATTGAACCACTTTCATCGCTGAATTGCGCACGATCTATTCGTTCACCTGTTTCAGTTTCGTTTTTTTTCTTTTGTATTATAATTGTTTTTTCTTTTTTTTTTTTTTTTTCATAGTAAACAACTTTTAAAATGACTATTATTGCATTTATTAAATAAATAACTATTAGATCACCCTTCTTAAATAGCAATCAATCGCAAAAACTCTAGAATGCGTAATAAGAATGCTCCCATATAAAAGTTTTTTTCATAAACTTCTACAAAAATGTTTTTTAACGGATACCGGAGGGAATAACCTACTGGTCTAACTCATTAGAAATAAGTAGACAACTAAATGTAGACAGCTATTATTATTTCATTGCTCAAAAAATTTGAGTGCTTTATTATTGCTTATGATTAAATTAGTAATATTTTAAATGAATTATTTTTAAAAAAATTAATTCTTTTCATATTCTCCTAAATTGAAGTTAGTCATTAATTCTATTGAATAAAATGTTTAAAAATTACCTTTAGGATTAATCAAACTAATATCCAAATAATTTCCATCATCCTTATCACCTGACAATGATACTGTTAATTCAGTTAAAAGTCTATCAACAGGTATTTGACATAATGATGTACCACTATGATCTCTAACTTCATACATAATATGAACCTACAAAAATATCACGAAGTTTTACTAACATGATAATTAAATTAACTTTTTTCAATCTGTTTATGTTTACTATACAAACAATTGAAAGTAACCAGAAAAAGCGCATAATTTCCAAATGAAAATATTTCAATCTAAAAAAAAAAAAGAAAAAACTCGATGAATTCACATGTCTTTTTTTTAAAAATAAAATTTAAATGCAACAAAAAAATAGATGAAAAAAAAAAGTACAACGATCATCTTTCATTTTGGTGAATAACATATATGCCTTTTTAATATATAATTATTCTAATTACTTAGTAAAAAATAGACCTTTTTAAATGTGATCGAATGACGAACATAATTAAGTACTTTATTAATATCAGTTTTTTCTAAATGAAACACCTGTCCAAAGCTAACAGCAGCTATTTTTTCATAGCATCGAAATCCAGGATGTGTACGATTGTTACAATCGCCTGTCATCACAAATACTACCTTAATATGAGTGGAAGAAATTAATTAAATAATTAGTTACGAGAACCAGAAAAAAGATAAAGGAAGTATATTGAATTGCTGCTTTCATACCATTTGTTTTTTTATTAATCTTTATGACAACTTTGATCAGTCACTGGGAATAATTTTTGGGAAATGTAAACTGAATTAATTTATTTCATTTTGTCATAGATCACAAAAAAAAAAAAAAAAAATCTTCCGCTATTAAAATTAATTAGATATTAGTTACGAAAATGAAAAAATAAAAATTAAATTCAATCTTATCAAAACAATTAACATTTATCTTTCAATACAATTTTTTTTAAATACAATCTTGACTCATCAACTGTAATCAACAGATTACCATTTATGCTTATATTTTTGCTGGAGATTTATGATTATTATTATCATTATTAAGCTTATATTTTAAGTTGTTAGAAAGTTTTGCGTCAATTTATAATTTTGAATAATTTAATTTTAGAAAACTTACAGAACTTTGCTTTTCCTGAATTAAATTAATAATTTGATCTTCTAAATGATAGTCTTTAGCTCGTGCATCAGTAAAAACATATATAAAAGATGCTGGCAATGAAGCTTCTAAAGCCATTTGAATACCTGTAAATAATTAAAAATCACAGGTAAACAAATATTTGATCTTATTCTATTGCTTACTTATTTGAAATGAAATATACTTCTTAAGAATTTATCACTTACTTGCTCCAGTAGTAGTAAATTGTAATTCATACGAGTCAATCATTGAAATCTTAATTTTAATTTCATAGCAAATTCCTTTACTTCTTAAGAAAGAAGAAGGGAAGAAAATTGCTTTAACTTTACTTTAGCCTGCATTTTAGGAAGCATTATTGCAATTATGAAGCAACAAATAGCATCAAAATTAACTAAACTAACCGGTAAGCGTCATTTCCGGACAATCACCACCACCCACTACGTGTACCGAATTGAGATGTCTTTGGAATGTTCTCGGATCAGTTGTTGAAAATACTGGTCCAACTCCTAAAATTAATTTATATATAAAAGAAATGATGCAAATTAAAAAAACGAATAAACTAAATTACTTAATTAAGTACTTTCATTATTAATTACTAAATAAACGTGACAGAACGCAAATGACTGAGACATTAGAAGTTTAAATTTTTAAAGTTAAAAATTAAATATAATTTAAACAATATGTCATATACTCACTTGTAATTCATTTTGTTTAGTAATTTTTTTATATTTACAAATTTCTATTTACAAAGTATATTTGTAAATAGAAATGCATTGTAGAAAATCTTGATTTTGCTCTCCTTTTAAATGCAATTTTTTTTAATAGTTTTAACTTCATTAAATTATATATACTATTTATTAGTGAAAAGGTCTGTAAAAAAAAAAAAATTATTGTAATATGTCTGTAAGTCAATTTGATGCAAAATTAAATTTAATATCTGCTTTAATTAGTTAAGTATTCAAAAAATTAATAAATTTCAAAAAAATGAAAAAATATTACTAGGATCATGAAATGGTACATAGATATAATTGTAAATAAGTTTTTCACGTTGTTTGAGCACAGTATCGAGAATTTTTTTAGCTCCATCTTGTACTTGAATTAAATCATCATTCATTGAACCAGTTGTATCGAATACAAATGTTAATGATGATGTGCCAGGTGGAGGAATTTTTTCATAGCTTCCATCTATTACCATATCATTGTGATAAGAAAATATCAGTAAGATAATATGAAGATTTAATACATTCATTGTAAAATTGAAATAGCTTTATAATTTATAATTTTCTTCTTTAATTTCAATTTTTCTGCAAGCAAAAAGAAAAGAAAACAAGTAAATAAATTATTAATTGTATTTAATTGCATTAAATAAATGAATGAAACGATCAGATATACAAAAGGAAGCTTAAATTAGTTTTTAAAACGACAAGAAAAGAAAAGTTATCATCTAACATATCTAGTATTAATTTGTTAAAATTATAATTTTATCTAATACTAATTGTTAAACTTTAGTTTAATACGTATTTCCTCATCACTTACTTGTTAAGCTTATTATCATTTGTTCGTCAAGAAAGGAAAAAACATGCACAAAATAATTATTTTCGAAAAATAAAACAAAAGCAAAAAGAAAAAAAGAAACGAGAAAAGAAAGGAATGAATTAATTTGGCAGTATTTTTGATTTAAAGTGATCGAATTCAAAAAATCGCTTAATGCCATCCTTATATACCATTAAAAGAGTATGCTCATTTTTACTAACTTATCAATTTGTCACTGATTATTGAACTGTTAGCAAATTGTGTTGCACAAAACTCAAATTTTTATTAGTTATATTCAATAAATAAACGTGAAGTAAACAATACGTTAACGTAAACGTTCTCCTCTTCACTTTTGCTTTTTTATCTATTATCTTAATTCATTATATGTTGCTTACGTCAAATTTATTTCACTGTCATCTCATTCATTTTTTATAAAACAATAAAATCATTCTATTAACTTTAAATTAGTGCATTAATAATTAACACATCCAAAAATTTCAACCAAAAATATTTGCATTAATTGTTGCAAATGAGCCAAAAGGAAGGTTTTATTAAAATCAAATTAAGGTGAAAAGGATTTATTGAAGTCAAATTAAAATTAAAATTCATCAATCATTTATTAATTTGGAATAAAAAGTTTAGCATATTTAGTAGATTAATTAGTGGTAATGAGAAAGAAATAAAAAGAACATAACATTTGATTAAGCTGTTGAAATCTGTGCATTTTTATAAATTAAAATTCCCAAATGATTTGACGCAGTTAGCAAATCGTTTAAGTTCTAACTTCAAGAAAAATAATATTTGCTTGATAAAAAAAGAAAAAGCATTACATTATAATTTAATGGTATTCGAGAACTAAAGAGATAATGATAGTAAAAATGATTAGAAATGATTGAATGCAGTCTTTAATTATTGAAAAGTTAGAAAGAGGCTGAATCATTTTCCCAGTTATCAGCCTAATTGATTAATTAACCTGTTAATAATGTTCATATAACAGGAAATATCTTATCATTATTGCATGTATAATTACGAAATAAGAAAAGCTTAAAAATTCAATATTTTGAAATAAATAATTTTTGAAATTTTTCAAAACAAGTTTTTTTTTAAAGTCCCAATTTTCTTTTTTTTTCTTTTTTTTTTTTTGCAAGTAATATATAAAAAATGTGAATAATTTTTGTATCTAATTATTACTGTAAAAAAAAAAAAAAATAAATCGAAGTACATTTATACATTGCACGCAATGAGCACAAAGAACAAGTCATAAATTTTAGAAATAAAAAAAGTAAAAATATAGAAAAAACAGAAGCAAGCAAAGATGTAATACAATACAAATGGTAGAACAATAAATTTTATTTTTTTTTTGCTCAAAAAAGGTATCTAAGTACTCATTTATATCTATCTTTCAGTCTAGTCTAATTGGCCCATAGATTAAATTAAATTATTTCTAATTAAAATTAAATGCAATAATTAGTTAATGTATTCAAGTGACAAGGTATTTTAATCATAGATGTAACATTTTTCTAATTTATAACAGCAGTAGAAATTTTGTATTTTGTCAATTTAATGTAATAAATTTGCACTTTAAATATCATTAGTTTTTTTTAAAAAAAATTAAATTATAAAAAATTATTCTTTATCCCAAAATATTGCGATGACAAAATTAAAATACATAAGCTATAAAATCATGCTATAATGTTAACAATTTTATCATTTTGAAAGCAATTACATTTTGATAATTTTATGAAATGAACTGCCTAACAATTTGTATAGCTTTATCATTAACAATCTAATAATTTGTATAATCTTAAAAAAATAAGTCAGCATTTTCAATCCTGTGATATCAAATAATTGATTGCATAGGTATGACCTATGAACTACAGCTAACCAAGTAATGTGATAGCTATTTCGAAAAGTGGTAGTTATTTCTTTCGAAAAATTTTTAGAACAATGAAATTTGTAACTGAATTAGACAATAAATGTGAAAATAATGAGAGAGAGAAAAAAAAAAAGCAAAAGAATGAATGAGTGAAAGTTTTAGAAAAAATAAATGAATAAATGACACTTGGCTCAGATGTTATTTGAGGTTTAAAATTTTTGAATTCTCACAGACTGAAACGATTGGTGGACGATAGAAGTAGTGATAGTAGTGGTAAAAATCTTCTTATCACACTCTCTCTCTCTCTTTTTTTCTTTTCATTCATCCACAACAATTCCGCTAATTTTCAAAATATCGGATCATACCAAAACGTTCCAAATTTTCAGGTCAACAAAAAAAAAAAAGAATACGACACATCTGCAAGTCATGTGATTTTTTTTTTTTTTTTTTCACTATAATGAAATATGGTCGAGATTCTTTCCTTTTTTTTTTCTTTTTTTAAGAGAAATAAAAATTCCGAAAATTTTGCTTAATGCTGATTGCGATGAGAGGAGAGAAACGATAATATATAAATATGATACGTAGACGTAGAACTTTTTATATACTTTTATATGAATTTTTTATATACTTTTTATATAAATTAATAAATAAATAAATAAAAATAACAGTAGAAAAAAAATTATAGTGTATATCGGATTGAGAAAGGAAGCTGAGTAAGGTGATATCGATCAAGGGAGGAACCTGAATATGATGATAGGTATAGATGAGATCAAGAAAGGGATCTGGATAATGATGATAGGTATAGACCGGATTGAGAAAAGAAGCTGCTGCAGAAACTTCATATTCTTGCCATTCAACAAATGTAGTATTGAGATAACAGCTAGGCCATGTGTTTTCGTCCGAACACTTTCCAACTAATAGAGCCAAATGGTTGTAACCAATGATAAATGATTCCTTCTTGCTCGTTCAACACTATCCATTTCATAATATACACATACACACATAACAAACATGCACAGACATAAACACACAGACACACACAAACACAAACATAAATACATATTACTCAGAAATTAAATTAACTTCCAAAAATTTCAATTTATTGCCATAAATTATTGTTACATTTTCGTTTGTTCATTAATTAAGAATTATAATTGTTAATTTGATTGATTGATCTTGCGCTTAATTATCTTTGTTTATTTCCTACTTATTTTCTCAAAAAAAAAAAATGTTTTTTTTGGTTACTCATTAAAGTTATTGATTTACTAATTTGTTAGTTATTCAGCATTTTTGTTTATTTTTGTTCTCAAAATCTGCTATTAGCTTTAGTTTGATCATTTTGATGAATTAGGTAGTAAAATTTCTTTTTCACTTAAGATTTCTCATTATAAGAAATCATGATATAATTAATAAAAACTGTCATTTCATTTTATTCATTTCAAAAATTAATTTCACTTTTTATAAGTTAACAAAATTAAGATTGATTCCATTCAGTTACTCAATGAATAATGTCTAGAAAAATTAAAAACGAATTATGATAATTGCATATATATTTATCTATGTATGCATTAAAAAAAAGTGAAAATAAATGATGAGATTAACAAACATGCAAATTTATACAAAGGTGTATAAATAAATAATGAACATTCACATAATGTCTTTTTATTTTTATTTTTTTTTTAATTATTAGAATTTGTAAGAATATTGAGATAGTATAATATGCATGTAAAAAGTTATGATGCAACCCAGTTTTCCTAGAAAATTTTTTAGTAATTTTTGTATTAAATAATATTTGCATAATTTAAACATTCATTACAAAGAGTAACTTTTAAAATACGGAATATAAAACTTCATGGGTATAAGTTATTCATTTGTGATATATGCTAAATTAACTTCAGCATTAATTGATATCATTGATATCCGAAGTGAATTATATAAATTAAATAATAAATATTAAAAAATAATAATAAATTTTAATTAGATAATAAAAAATGTATATATTTTAAAAGTGAATACGAGAAGCATAGCAACGTAGATATTATGTATAAAATGAAGTAATCGTTCGAGAAACCGCGATAGATTCACTGCCGCTTAATTCAATTAATTCGTATTAATGTTAAATTATATTTTACATATATCTTTAAAAAAAAAATCTTTTATATTTCTTTCTAGAATAAACCCGATAGATTTAACAAAATGGCCACATGAAAATAATGGCCAAAATATAACATTTACGCTTACTCTCATTCATCTTATTCATTAGCTACCAGTCGTGTAGATGTTTCCAAACATTCTAGAAACAACTAATCACTTATACAATTTACACAAAACACAACAAAGCTGCTAAAATTCAAAAAAGTAAATTTCTCTTCTGCATTCGTTTTTATGCAACATCAATTATTCAAGTTGATGATGAAGTTTTAAAATTGTTGAAAATTAAGTTAGCAGTTAAACAATGATAATAAGGAAAGTATTTTAAATGAAGTTTCAAAAAAAAAAAAAAAAATTATAACGTAGTGAGAGATGGATAGAGTAGGGAGAGTAATGAAAATTTTGAAATGATAAAAGTTCTACTTTGATAATTTTGCACAACAATAATTACTACTGATAAAGATAACAGTGATAAAGAATGAGTAGTTTTACGATATGTAATGAATTAACTCTTGAAAAAATGAATATTTGAAAGACTATATTTCATCCATCATTCTCACTCCAGTCATTTGTGCCTTTGTTTGCTTTTTTTTTCACATGCTTCGTTATTATCAGCTTTCTCAAAAACTTCCTCA